AACAAAAAATCCCAGAACGAATTATGTAATTTATCGGAGGCATAGTTTTCTGTCCCCCTCCAGAGTTTTATAATAGAATTCTGGAGGCATAATCGTGTCATCGGCGAAATCGTTCCTTTCGATTATTTATTTATATAAAGCAGCAGCTTGGATTACGTTATTCTCCTCGAATGCTGAACCATTAGATTGATCGAACTGTTAGATAAGGTTAAGGAGAACGAGAGCATCGGTTATCAAATTCTGTTTCGATGATTTATTAATCATCGTGTGTATTCTATGAGAACATGGTCGACAAGCATCAATATTTAAAGTTGATACCCATAATTAATGGATAACATGTATATCAACTCGCAAAGTCTCTATTCATTATTCATTGGTGCTCGTTGTGTTTGCATCGAGAAACAGATTAACTGCAAAACTTAACGAAAGCACTGTTTAAAGTTTGTGTTTATCATTAACCAAATCAATCTGCAAACTCCATACTTATACTTCATCGACAGCTTCTAGCTTAATTTGCTTCGAACTTTGAGCTTATAACGAGCATCGGGGAATCAAGAAATTTTAGTTGTATATTTTCCTTAAATTTCACCAAAATGGTCTCAAAATAAAATAACTGGACGATGACTTAAACTAAACATGAAATATTAAAATACACGAACATTCTAAACGGACGACGTTTATAGCACGAGCTATTTTTAATCCTACTTGTACTCGAATATTTGAGAATAGCAGCGATTTAAATACTCGTGGTAAAATAATTCGAATATTTTATGCACCGATTCAATACTTGGGTATTCAAAGAATGCGACGTGGACTGTAAATCAAGTTCCTCCGGTTTATTTTCTTGTTCTAAACTGTATTTCGATTCAAGACCTTACGTTTGTATTTTGGTAATGGTAGACCGATGCTTTTAAATTTTTCAGCCGCTAACAAGCCCCCCCGATCCATCACGGAAGATATTGCGCTTTACGCTAATGCGTAACGCAAACGAGGCGTATTTGTATACATTTATAGACAACTGTGTTTACACGGTGGATCACGCTGAAAATCGACCGTCGCGTTTCTAATGCTGCCTGTAAAATTCAAGTATTACGTCGTACGGATTACACGGGGGATTCCCTGTTTATTTTAACCTCACCAAATCCTGCACTATTTCTGAATAAATATTTTTTTTTCTAACACTCAACGACATGGTTAATAACATTCTTGAATATTACTATCCTCTTTTCCACTCATCCAAAAGAAAAAGTGGTCTTAACCCTTAAGGGTTAATTTGGTTCGAGTTTTCCAGTAACCAGTGGCTCGGTGGGGGAAAGAAAAACACGCGGAGGGCGCCACGCAATAAAGGTCAACGACCCCAAGTGCCTGCCACCTGTACGTCCTGAACCAGTTCCCCTTTTCGGCAGCAATGTGGGTCAGCACGCCTCCTCGGCTAAAAAGGGCATGCCTGCGTATCGGCGAACACCAGACAATGCACGCTTCGGCGCGTGCACTCGTATAAAATGAAAATACACCCGAGGGTCGAGCATTGTGCGTGCCGGCACACGCCACGCTCGAAGAAGAGCACAAAAACTATCAACCTGTCTGCTACGGTCAACGACCGGAAACACTATCCGCTAAAAAATCCCTGGCGTGTCACCATAGGTTTCTTTATCTCGAATTACGATGCTTCTCGAGCGTTCGTAGTACTGGAAGCCTCAAGGAAAATAATGTTGAGCTCTGGTCGAAATTCGTTCGAGTCTAAAACCAATAAAATGTCGATAACTACATTTCGAAAAGGATGCAAGTGTTTGTAGTATAATATATGAATAGGATCGAACACGAAACCCTAAATATCTAGAGAGGCGTGTGCGCGTTTTTGGATTCAGGACGGTCGGAAACATCGAGAAACGAAAAGACACCGGCGAGGGAAATGTTGATCGATAGGAATAGTTCCCCTCCGCTGTGTACGATAACAGGAAAGTAAAAGGCAGTCGTGTTTACGATCCCCCTCCCTGTGCCGTGAAAAAGCGAACCGCCGCCAATGATGGCATCCCTGGCCACGAACGCGTATTTACATCGAACACGCATTAGCGCACGTATGTACGTATGTACGTATGTACACGCGAGCCGGTCAGCTGTTCGAACAACGACGTCCAGACGCGAAATCCTCGAGCGCGGCGTGCCGCGTCCTCGAGACGATTCCGTTCCTCGACCTCGTGGAAACGGGGCTAACCGCGCGAGACGCACGGCTCTGCAGACAAGAAGATGGCGGGGGAGGAGGTGGTTGATGGGCAAAACGCGAATTAGGTTAGGTTGCACAGCGCGGGGGCGAAACGGTGGCGCAGGGTAGACGGGCGGGGGGGCAGGGTGAGGGGGGATATAAACCGAGAAGCTGGTCGAGCGGTTGGCACGACGCGAAATTCTACGAATCCGTTTCTGAAATTCCAGGCGTACACGGGACTGTACGCGGTGGATCAGGGTGGAAAAGCGTGGTTCGGAGGGTCAGTGAGAATGCTGGCAGGTCGATAGCAATGGCGCCGCGAAGCTACGAAGAAAATCAATCCTGTACGACACGCGACGTGTTTTGACGCGCCTACTTTCTTTCCCCGTCGTTTCTGGACGAGTCGCGGGGCCGATGGTTGGCCGCGACACGATCGGTACCCGGCGTGTTATCGCGATATTGTCCAAGAGAAGGGTTTACAGAGCGACAGGGAGGAAAGAAACGCGAGGCGAAACACGGAGCGGAGTACTGACGTACCGACCGAGGTGGCCGGAAAAGACGAGGCCGCAGGGCCACGCACACACACGCGCACGCAAGTTAAGATCGCGCGTACACCGTCACGCACCATAAGCCAAGGTGGCCGGAGGCGCATACGATGCACGCGGCGATAATAACGTCGCCGATCGGGACTGAGAAAATATCGTATCACTTACTTTTGACCACTCGTTCCGTCGTGGAGAGCTTCTGCGAGTTGTTCGAGGTCATGCTGTATCAGGATGGTTGACGGGTGGGCGCCGGTCTCTCGCTCTCTTTCTTTTCTCTATTTCACTCTTTCCCGGTCACAGGATCGTCTCTCTCTGGCACTCTCTCTCGACGTGTCACTCGGTCGCTAGTATTTTTTTTCCTTCTTATTCCTCCGGCCGTAGTTACTAGTGCGAGGTAGCACCTTCCTCTCGAACGGGGGGTTGGGTGGAAGGAGAGGGCGGTATTTTCACCTCGAGAGCCCGGCGCGGCACACACACATACACACGCACGGAGTGGGGGAGGGAGGAGAGGTGACGGAAGTTATCGCACGGTGCGGCACATCGGTGGCTCCGGAGCGTTGTTCATTGGGCGTTTGCGGAGTGAGAAATTATTCTGCCGTGTCCCTCTCGCTCCCCGTGTATTTACGACACCGACCGACCAGTACACCTCCTCTTCTGCTCTCTTTCTCGCTCTTACTCGCTCCCTCTGCCCGACGAAAGGTACCACCAACGCCTTTTGCGGGGCGAGTAACTGGATCGCTGGACCACGCGAGCTGCACGGCCAGCACGACGGGGTCTTGCGACCGCGTACCACCACACCGAGCAGCACGATCGAACCTTCGTGGAACGACAGCCGAGTAAACGACGACTTTTAATAAGGACGAGGTAGAGGACAACGTCAACGATCGCGCGGCGTGAGCATAGGGAGAACGGTCACGACGACGACGACGACGACGACGACGACGACGACGGCGTAGACGATGATGACAACGACGACGACGACGGCGACGGCGATGACACCGTAATGACGAGCACCGCGACACGAAACCGTGACACCGACACCCACGGTCGAAAACACCACGCCGCTAAATTCTACTACAAGATGTCTGTCTGTCTGGCTCTCCGCGGCGCGCACACTGACGCCTCCGCGGCTACGAGACGGTCGCGCAGCCCTCGACGCGCAGCGATCATTCGTGAGCGCTGATTGGCCGCGTTGCCACCAGCTGCCGCCACCCGCTCCCCGTGCGAAGGCGCCACTGACCGTTGTCGAGAACCAACGATCTTACACGCGAATTAAATCGAAAATACGTGTCGTTCGAAACCGATGGAGAAACGATACCAGCCAGTATTTCGAGACGCGATGGATTCTCTAGACACTGACGAGGAACCGAGCCGGAGGATATCTCGATCGATCGGGTTAAATAGGTCAGTAGGTCATTCGTGCGTTTCGAAAGAAGGGCGCGCGAAATGTTTCGACGTAAAATATTTTCAGGCATTCGTTTTGAACTTTTGCTAGTTCTCGCTTTGCGTTTCGATGAATTTAAGTCGGTGCAAATTCGATTCGTTCCAACGATCGCTTCTGTATAAAAAGTTGGATCGCGTTGTAAACGACTGTCGATAAATTAGGAATTCCAAACGAATAGCGCGAAATTCAACTTGTCCTCTCGATATATTAAGTCGTTTGGCTACTGACCCTCGCTCGTAGCCAATTAAATATTAAACTTCTATTATTGTGCACACAGCTTACATGTGTTTTATGTAAAAGTAGTGTGCACAATGATGAAATACACAAGCACAAACATATTATAATAGTAAGACAAACAAAGCAGCGTAGAGAAATAGATCAACTAGGATGGATACGTAAGAAGGGAAAGTTGTGTAAACGAATACAGGAAAAGACAGCAGATCACTCCAGCGCGTCCATTAGTAATGGCGAATAAGAATGAAATGTTTTTCCCCTTTCCTTTTCATTCTAGTGAAACTTGCTCCCAGGAAAGGAGTATAAGATTTCCAGCACTTTAAGCGATTACTTATGACACCTTCGCTCGTGGGAGAGCAGTCTGCGGAAGACGTACGTACACATTTCTAGCACAGAATCTATTAAAATGCAGCTGAAACGCATCTCGATGCATTTCTGGAAAACCGCGAGGAAAGTTTGGCGAGTAAAATCGACGTAAAGACCGTATTTTAATAATGTTATATTTATATTACAAATGGACGTAAATGTTTAGACAACGTTCTTTCAAAAGAATCGAAGAAACACTCGTGAAATATTAATACTCCAATTTCGGTCTTTTCTCTACGTACGCTTTGATACTCGGTAAAGCTAAAACTTTTTCTTTGAGGGCCTTCAGGTGTGGCTTGTCCTTCGTGATATCAGCTTCGTAACCGGTGTTTATCGCGTCCGAAATGGCAACGAAGAACAGATCCGCGTAACTTAGCTGAAAACATCGAACGCATCATCAACCTCGAGTTCGAATAAAAATTTCTAGGCACGCAAGAACTCTTACTTGGCCACCGTGCAAATATCCGTCGTTGTTCTTGGCCAGTTCCTCCAATTTGTTTAGGTAAAACGGTACCGTCTGGCCGAGCACTTCCACTTTTTTCTTCGCCTTCAGAGCAGGATCCTGCTCTTTGTAGTAGTACGATATCACGACTGCAAAATGGAGAATTGTCGTTGACGTACGCGCGGAATCGAACGAGATTTAACGGTATTTACGCAAGTGCATCGACAGAAAGGAATCAATTTGCCCGGCTACGGAATCAATATTTACTCTTTCTAAAATCGTGAAGAGCGTTCGCGATGGCGTCGATTCGCAGGGTGTCCAGATCGGTTTTGCCGAGCAGATTAAATTGTTTGGCCAGGTATCGGCAAATAGGCAACGTTTGCGTGTAAACTTTCCCGTCGATTTCCAACACGGGCAACTGGCCGAACGGAGTCGCTGGAAACAGAAAAAAACGTTAAAAATCACGGAACGCGGTATAAACCGACGATCAAAGCAGAACGCTTCGATCACGATCGTTCCGTGCGTAAGTACTTGGTTTCATGCTGAACCATTCACTGGAACCGTATGTCATCCGGACGTCCTCGAACTGTACGCCACCGTAACTGAGGATGAACCTTATGGGCTCTCCTAATCCCATCACATTGAAGTACACCAATTTGTATCCTGTCATTCTCGCCAATCTAACGATACAACGGATAAAACATCACCGACGACGCTCAAAGTCGAATACAAAAGACGAGAATTATTTACAAACGATGCATAAGATGCAATGAAAGTTGCAACAAGTAAAATATTTATTATTTCTAGAATAAAGAGCGAGAAACACGTTTCGAAGTATAAATAGAAGTAGCGTGTAAATATGATTCTGCATATAAAACGTGATATGTTTATCGTTTACATGCTCTTGATTGCAATTAGTCTCTCTTATCTATCAGTTATATTATTTGTAACATTTTTCGACAGATGTCACTAATCATCACGAAACACGCTTGAGATCGTTAAAATGTACAAAGCTGATAAAGCATGGTGGTTAATACAAATGGAACCTGTATAAACGATTCAGCTTAGAGAAAGTACCACTCCGATTTAAATTGCGCTCGATCGACCGATAAAATTGATCTTGGGAGATTTTTCGATCGTTATCGTCTTGGGAGTACGCGGTTTTACCTTACCGATAAATCAAACGCAACGTACGAAATTCACCGAAGACTAACCGGTTTCTATGCTTTGGTGGGAATTATATGCAACCCCCACTTTCATCGTTCGTATTCTCTTCGTCTTGTCTGCGGAACTTTCTCTGTCAGCAAGATAGCATCGAGTCTCTGATTGGTCCTACGATTCGAAACAAGTCCATGTTCACTTTCACTTGCGAGAGTTTGCTGAAAACCGACTCGTTCGGAGGCCCTCGTTCCTACAAATATCAGCGGCTTATATCGACGCGATAATTATCGATAGTCGCACACGATACTTTTATCGCGACCCATCGACTTTATCTTCCGTGAAATTAGCAAAAAATCGCCCACGGAACGCAGCAATTTCGAATACGAGGCGATTAACCAAATGTTTTGTCATAGTGTTCTCGTCACGTTTAATTGCAAAAACGTAATCAAGGCCGCCGGTTTTGGAGGCCCTACAGAAATTTCATATACAGAGATTAGAGCTTCAATAAACAAAGACTCGCTTTTTCATCCCAGGCTCGACGAGATAAGAAACCACGTCTCCGGAACGAAAACAAGGAGTCTCTGTTTCGGGCCCAGAATGACCAACTGGAGATTTATCTTAATCACAGTGGTTTTAATGAGAGCGAAGGATTTTTGCGCGATCGACGACGAAGCGTTTAAAAATAAATCCATGGATCTGGATCTAGAGAAACGACTGACCGCGGACGTTGTCCCTAACAGATACGTGATCGCGATTTCCATCGATTTAAAAAGAGATCAGTTCCACGGTTCCATTCGTATCGATATCGATGTTCTTAGAGTAAGTGATCTGGCATTAATGCAGTTTATTTCCTCCCACCCCAAACTGGACAAATATTTTCAATGAAACAGACAGTTTCTATGATTTGGGGTTGGAAACCACTAGTATTTCATGCTATCGAATGTTATCGTAGCCTCAAAATCGCATCGTTTTGCATTCGAGGAACCTAACTATTTCGTCGACGAAATTGTACTCGTCAAGATGGCGAACGGAAGTGCGAATAGAGTCCGTGTTTCCCGTAGACGAGCGTGAAATGTTGGTTATCAAACCGTACAGAATCGTCCCACTGGGAGAGTATTTTTTAAAAATGAACTTCAGCGGCGACTTGAAGGGGAAAATCAATGGATTCTACTTGAGCAAATACGTTGACCTCGACCAGACAGTCAGGTAACAACCGTACTTGGATAAATAAGATATATCCTTGATTTTGTATCGTAACTTAAACTTTACGCTTCGCAAACGATATTTCGCGCTGTTTGTCCGAAAGTTTCTATATCCATATAAGAATTATTGACGTAGAAAAGTGGCGGTGACGCAGTTCGAGCCACTCTACGCGAGAAACGCGTTTCCCTGCTTCGACGAGCCACGCTTCAAATCCACATTCGTCGTTCGCCTCCTGCACACGGAAAAGCCCCCGTATCATGCGTTATCGAACATGCCAGTCGCAGTAAGTCAATTATTGTTCGCCATTATCGAGCAAACGTTCCGGAATAATTTCATCGCAGAAAGTCCAGACGACGAACAACGAAACGATCACGTTCTTCGATGCATCGCCTCCGATGTCCACGTACGTCGTCGCCTTCCTCCTCAGCGACTTCGACTGTCTGTTGGCCAACGCGACGCTCCTAAACGGCACCACGTTTCCGCTGAACGTGTGTGCCAGGCCTATGTACAAACACAAGGCAACCTTTGCCCTGAACGTTGCTGTCCGAGTGATGGAGTATTATTCGAGCGTTCTTAATATCGACTATCCGCTGCCGAAACTTGGTAATCCCAAAGACTGAGCGATCGATCTTGTTTCCACGTGACAAACCCCTTTCTAAGATAGATTATGGACCGCTTCACGATTAGATCTAGTCGCGATACCCGATTTCGGGGCTGGCGCCATGGAGAACTGGGGTTTGATCACGTTTCGCGAGACGGAACTGCTTCACAGCGGAAACGACAGCTCCTCTATGAACACCAAGAGCGTCAGCCTGACGGTGGCCCACGAATTGGCGCACATGTGGTTCGGAAATCTGGTCACCATGAAGTGGTGGAACGATCTCTGGCTGAACGAGGGATTCGCGACTTACATGGAGTACATGGCGATCGACTTTGTCTTCCCCGAGTGGAACGAGGTCTGTTACAGACAATAATAAACTTTGGTATAGATTTGGTCCACGGTATTTTCTTTTGCATCAGATGGACTCCTTTCCCTTGCGTACCAAGTATGTTTCCATGAAGCACGATAGCAAGATTCGCGCCCGTCCCGTTGTGAAGCGCGTGGAGGATCCAGAAGAGATCGAGGAAATGTTCGATCGTATCTCCTATCAAAAGGTATTGTTCCAATAATCGTAAAACGAGTGAGAAAACAGTGCTCGAAAATGGCCGTTTCACTTCATGAGATTAAATACCCATAAGTGTAGAAGATAATTACATAAGAAAGATAAACAAAAATGAGTTCGAATGTATGCGCCCAGGGCTCGCAATTTCGATATAAGTATTACTATCAAAGCTTGACCTAATTTGAGTTCTTGGGTAAACAAGATATACTCGTCGGTGAAGATTCGCGATTAAAATTGAAAAATAAAATGCTCATTTGGAAAGTTATATTAAAACCAATATGGACTTATGGAATCCAACGATGGAGTACCAAGTTGGTACGTCAAATATTGAGATCCTCCCGAAGTTTCAGCGAAGACCACTTAAACTCCAGAGTTCCTTGATACGTTCCAAATGATACCATTTCACCACGGTCTAAGAATGCCAACGGGAAAGTAAGAAATTACTAACCGTACCGAGGTTGTACGAAACTTGTTGGATACGAGTAACGATCGTCTGCTTTCCAAATGATTTGTTCGAACAATGCCTGTTCAAAAGGGCACTAAAAATGGCTGTTTTCGAACACTGTCCCGTCGAAGATTAAATTGAAACTCGCACCAGGCAGCAGCTGTGCTTAGGATGCTGGAGGACGCGATCGGTAATTCGAAGTTCGTTCTCGGCGTGAGAAGATACTTGGACGAATATCGGTTCCGCAACGCGGAGTCGGACGATCTGTTCGAACTTTTAGGGAACAGCACCCGCGGGGACGTCGATATCGTCGACTTTATGAGCCGGTGGACGAGGATTCCCGGATTCCCGGTGATCAACGTCGTTCGTCGAGATAGCGCGGCGTTTAGGCTCTCCCAGCAGCGTTTCGCGGCGAGCAAGAAATTTCACGAGATTCACGAGTACGCACATACGTCGGTATCGTAAACTCGGAATACGTCCAACATCCACGGAGGGATATCGTTTTCGTTTATAGCGGCGGAAGCTGGACCATTCCCATAAAATACATAACGAGCAGAAGGGACGGCGCGAAGCTCGATTGGTTCCTCGCGAATTATTCTTGCGGTAACGATCGCGAGACCCGAAACAATTCGTCGTTAAAACAGGATTATTCTTGGCGGTGATTCGATCCGATCTTCCTCGAACAGAAAAATATTCGATCGACTTAAACGAACGGTTGCGTCACCGTCGACGATATCTCGTTTTAACAGACTCTCGAACGCTATTAAAATTCTTCGTTAAACCGAGTCGCGAACTTCGCAGTGGTATTGTCTCTGGAAAGGACGGTCGATTGGATTAAATTAAACCACAGATCGATCGGGTATTACGTCGTAAATTACACGGAAGATGCATGGAACGCGTTCGGGGATTTATTGTACAACGACCACCAAGTACGTGTCAGGACGTCTGCCACGAATTAGTCTCGCGATTCTAAGCTTTTAATTGGCGTTCGTTTCTGATTTGTCGCAGACATTGAGCCCCGTGGACAGAGCAGACTTGTTGCACGACGCTTTTCTTTTAACGGGCGCTGCCGATCTGTGTTTCTCGGTGGCGATGAACTTGACCTCTTATCTGGCGATCGAAACGGCTTATCAGCCTTGGGCAGTGGCCGCCGAATGGTTCGCTCGGATGAACAGATTGCTGCAAGGGACACGCGTGCACGCGCCTTTTCAGGTATTTAATCTTTCGCGAACGAGCTCGAAGGGCCCCGAGAATTGATCCGCCCTTTTATCGCCCGATTTTCAGTCGTACGCCAGGACTCTCGTCGACAAAATCTATCGTCAGGTCGGATGGCACGTAGACGAAGAGAAATCGGTCGCCAACAGGTTGGTCGAACTTTTAAAATCAATTCGAACTCCCCTTAACACTAGATTTACAGACACGCTTGACAGTTATATCAAAATATAGCTTTTTAATTGGGGTTAAAATTAATATATAAGGATTAGAGTCATTGTTTTAACCTCGACGCGTCCCACTTTCGAATCGAAACGTTTTTAAAAGTTTTAACGATGGTGCGGACCGATGCAAAAATTTCGATTCTCGTTCCTCGTACGTGTCTTATCCCTCGCGCTAAAAGTAAACACGGGGATGATTTCGAGTCCTCGCCGGGGCGGGGAGTAAATATTGGCGCTCGAAAGCGGGAATTGGCGCGTTTCGATCGGGCCGGTTTGATCTTAACGTCGCGTCGTTCGTTATTAAAGAAACAAACATGGCGGGGGCTTTAATTAAGGAAAAGTCTCGGGATTCGTTTCAAGAGAACTGGGCGTGTTGGTGTTGAACGCAGCTTGCAGCGTGGGTCACGAACACTGCCTCGACACGGCCGGGAGGAAGCTGAGGGAGTTCGTTGGGAGCGAGGGTACACAAACGCCGCCAGCCGATATTCGGTCTATCGTCTACTCGTTCGGTGAGGGGGAAGAGATCATAAATATTTTCCGCTCTGAGACTTTATTATTCATGGTATAATACCGCGATAGGCCTTGTCACGCACTCGGACGACATTGGATCAATATTTGAAAACATGTCGCGGCTACTCGCGACGGAGACCGACGCCCAAGAAAGGGAACGCCTGATCAAGGGACTGACCAATGTTCGAGATAAGGGCGCCCTAAATCGGTTCGTCGACCATCACTTTCTTTTGGAACGAATTTCAATCGGGCATTCAAAATTCGTAACGCATTTCGAAGCTCGAGCATGAATTTATTAACATTTGTCGGCTGTAAACTTAACGAGATATTGTGTTTCGTTTCTCGATAATTTCTACCCGCGTAACGTTAAACTGGAACTTTAATATCGTCAAAGATTTCAGGGAAACAACGATATTTGCTTGGCAGTGTTTATCCGGCGCGAATAATGTTGCCTCATTCCCATTATTTATTATGGCTCTCGGTGTACGTAGATATCGAAGCTGCTGTTTAATGAGTTTGCGGCTGATAGGGGATAACACGTTTACTTTTTTAAAAAATCGTACGATTCTGCCTCTAAAACGATGCAATTTTCGCGTACAGCAATTTTACATGGAACGAATAATTTATACGCTCAAGGTGAACGTGTTATGCGCCTCGTCTTATACACTGAATAGTGTTAAACTCTGTCTAAGGACAAACAAAGGAAGAGATATAACGTTTGCGCCATAAAGGAACGATTCTGAGATATTTAATTAACATAGCACGGGATTATTTGAGAATAATGCAGTGGATTTCAGCAACTGGGTCAGGCTATAGCTTTGTTCCAACTGATTTAATAACTCCTATTATTCTATTATACATTCTCCCAAAGTACATTGGTCCATTTGCATTATTTTCTTTTAGATTCACGTATGCTATTTAATTTTGTTCGAATTTGTGACGAGTCAGACACGTGATTCTATGGCAAGGGATTAATTTAGGATCATCCTGCGTATCTTGTTTATCGGTTAGGTACCTCGAACGCGCGACCAATGAGAACTTTGTACGCAAACAAGATTTCGCCGACGTGTTGGTGAAAATTGCATCGAATCCCACGGGACTGGACGTAGCCTGGAATTTCGTACGGTACGAATTTTGGGGAATTTCCTCGCGTACGCTAATATTTTAATAGCTCGCTCCTCTCTCGAGCCATTGCTGCGAAAGTAAAGAAACGATATAGTACATTTAATCGAAGGAGAGTCTTTCCGTAGATCTCGATGGGACAACCTCGTCGACGAGTACGTTGCAAACGGTTACGCTTTGGGTAAAGCTGTCGTCGCGATCGTCTCGTTCTTCAAAGACCGGGAAATGCTGCAAGAGGTAATCCCTTTTATCTTTCGTCAGAGTCACGGAGACTGGAAACGACGCGAGAGTTTCGCCAAAGATTCATTCCGCAGGCCAAACGATTCTTTCGCGAACACGACGATCTCGGGGTAACGGAGAGCACAAAGAGAAACGCTATCGAGGAGATTGAAAACAGCATCGATTGGTTGGACGCGAACGTGCAAAACATCGACCGGTGGCTGACGGCCAATGGGTTCGATTAAATCCCGCGTTTTCCAATTCGAACCGAAGGAAAAATTTTATTTGGATAATAGATGAACGAAAACAACGCGCGGAGACCTATTTGCAACGTTTATTCCATCGAATGGTCGCGAGGACAAATTTTGAAACGTACATTTATTCTCGAAACTGTAAATAATAAAGTTCTGATCGGCGGCTATCGGTGGCGAATATTTTTTCAACGAAAATCGAGCGTATTTCGTAGCGAATTATCGGCCACGATTAAACCGTGATCGTGAATTTCGATTAACGTTTCATCGAGCCCGATATCTTAAGGAACAATAATCTCTGGAAGCAAAGATCATTGGAAATATTTACGGACGGTTCGATTACCAAAGAACCATTGCGTTTTTACAGAGAAACGTGTTATGTTTGCTTGAAAATCAACGCGTTCCAATCGTGACGACGTTCTCGTTGTATCTAATCGGCAAACGATTCGCCCACCTCGACGGCGAGTCTGTTTCCCGAAAAAAAAGTATCTCAGCCACGGTTAGACAATGACGACGCATCGACGCGTAACGTCGTCGCATACACGACACCGGGACGTTATCGGGTTTATCGAAATTTCTTTCGTTACGCATCGTCGATACACCGACTGGTAAACAGCAGACGAACGTTGTGGTTGCCCGCGAACGAACGCTGATAGAGACTGCATCATCCATTCGCGAATGATCCTCCGCGTTTCGCGACGCGAGTGCTCCTGCTGCGTTCGCCAAAGTCGACCACCGTCGATTTTCGGACCCTTTCGCGACGCCAAGGACTCCCCTCAGACCCACTGCGACTGCATCGAACCTGGCTGAGCTGGAAAAAGGTAAAAAAGAAACACCGATCCGTCGCGCTGTGGGCCGTTTACTTCGCTAAGAAGACATTTATGCCAGTGTTTTGTCAACTGACTGCGAACGCGCGGAAGATCCACCGTCAAGGATGAACACGACGGTGCATTACGCGATGGTGGCGTTTTGGGAGAAGTCAGGGTGCAAGATAGTGGCGGATTATCCTGCCAAGAAGGACCCAGCCTACAGGGCGATCGCGCTGAGCACGGTGGACAGTCTGAAGCCGCTAGAGAACGACAAGATCAGCCTCGATCGGGGCAAGTAAGCGTGTATACTTTAATTGTGGCTCGGAAACTTATGGAATTTGATTCGACGGGTCAATTTTTATTGTACCAAAGTGGGCTTTCGATCTCGAGTAACGTCGCTTTAAAGTTTTGTTAACGTCGACGATGGATTTAAATTCTCTTTAGCGAAACTAACGATCGCGATAACTGAATTCCACCCTTCTGCTATGTAATTTACCTAAAATTATTCCGCCACCTGAAAGCACAAAGCGTAATTTAAGAATCTGATGAGACATATTCGTCTAATGCTACTTTCCACCAGGTACACGGTGCACGTGCTGATCGGTGAACTTCATTACGCCTGTCTGACGTATAAGCCGGAGTGTCCGTCGTTGGCGGCCAATCTGGAGTCCTGCGTCCACGTATTCCTGGAAAAATTGAGAAACGTGTACAGGGAGCTGCCCATTATGGCCGACCTCTCGACAGACCTAACGAATCTCGCCGTCATCGACCTCTCGAAGCCACTGAAGAAGATAGTCGTACGTTCGACCCTTTAATCTGGAATTGTTGACCTAATCGTGACCGTGAACGAGACCACGGCGACGCACGATTAACCCTAAACTATCGCAAATTACTTTTTCGTTTATTAATATCGTTCTATTTCTGCTCCCCCGATACAATAATATCTTTCTTTAAAAATAGTACAACGAAGTTTTGTTCGAATAAAGCAACTTATTAATTCCACTCTGGTTCTCATGAATTGTTTCTATTGGACCGCAGTGCGGCACTCTAGGTTTCTCGCTCAGGTCAACCTATTTAGAATTAAATTCGAAATATTTTTTACCCACAAATATTAACCGCGATCGCATAGACACGCGTAGAACAGGAAGATCGTTTAGAGCCAATAGAGCACAAGAGAGAGTTAAACCGTTAAACGAGCACAATTTCAGGAGGAGTACAATCGACAAGAGTCGAACATAATCCCGAGGTTGGAGGGGGAATTGGCGGAGATTCGACAGGCGTTGATGGACGGAGTTCTGAAACTGATGGACAGGGGCGAGAGGCTGGACGAGCTCGTTCGAAAGACACAGAGCTTGCAAATCATGGTAATCGTACGAATATCGGTTTCAGCCTCGCAAATTACGGTAAAATCGACTCTGACCCGTCCATTTTCTTATCGTTCTGCTCGATAACAGCACGCCGTGGCCACGATTCCGTAATTGAATAGCGGGCAGAAAAGAATTTTCATTCAATAACCGCGGTTGCGCGGCGCGTTCGCGTCTCGCGAATACGACCCCAGCTAGTAGAAATCGTTTATTTCCCAAAGGGTAGCGCGGCCGTGATTACACTCGTTTTATTTACTAACGCTGAACAGATACCGCGCCCGTTAATTATGCCAATATCGAGCAACGATTAACGGGTCACGACCCACTAAATGCACAGACGCAGCTCGACTTGGTCTGCTTTATCGGAAGCCTAAAATTCTGCGTACGAATTTCGTAAGCATACAACTCCGTAATAAAAAAAAACAAACTCCGCGATGGTAGTCAAATCGACGTTCGATCATTGTTCTCCAGTTAGTGTGTTCATCGCGGCGAAATATTCAGCTGTACTTACTTTGCGCAGTCACGAAAGGACTTTCACGTGATGAGGACGTCCAAGAAGAAGAAGAGTATAATGGCGGCCATGGCTGCGGGAGCCCTGATGTTCCTCTCCGCGACGCTCTTTGTGTTCCTGCTCTACATAGGGATTCTATGATCGAAGTTTAAAACCTACGCTGCCTGAGAAATGTACGAGCAAATAAATTATTTATTGTCTTTTTCGTTGGGTTGCTTATTTAACTGAAAGTTGAAAGAGTCGTCGTTGCGATACGACGTTTACCTTAAATTGTTTGACAAAAATGTCGCAGCAACGTTCATGCAACGACGATAGCCTTGAAAAAGCTCGACTGATGGTCGCGCGATATCTAGAGTGAAAGAGTCTTTAGCGATGGCGTCGATGTTGAGGTACACGACGGATCCTATCGATCTACAGGAGGAAATCAAACGCTTGGACGATCACGCGGAATCGATCAGGCGCGAGAAATTCATCGCCGCCAAGAAAATACAGGTTAATCGTCGTATTCAATAATAGCATCGTATTTTTCGGTTTTGCGGAACAATATCTTTACAACGGTTAGGCGAAAGATAATCTCGCGCTCGATAACGGAACGATCCTGGACGAGTTATCGTTCTCGACTAAACGCCGCGCGAGTCTCACTAATAATAAAGCCTCGAGTGTCGTAACGGGAGAGTTGGACGTCGAGATATCGATTATTTAAGGTCAAGATCGCGACACACAATACCGTGCACGATCCATCGAGTTACTGTCGTATCGTCCAGTCATGCACTTTACTCTCCCCCCTTAAACCATTACCCAAAAAAGTATTTTCAACCTTCGAGGGACGTCAGTTTATTATAGCGAACGATCGAATTTTGTTGGATGCGTGCAATTCTCGAGTCTTACGATTAGTTTCACGTTCCAGGCACGGATCCGTGGTTTACTCGTTCGAAAACATTTGCGGCTGTTGCACGAAAGCGCGATCACCATCCAGCGGCATTGGCGCGGTTATTGCGTCAGGATTTTCGCCGATCGATACCTGGTTGAGCGTGTTCATCAAATGTGGCAGGATTATTACGATCGAATGGCGACGAGGATCCAGACGATCTGGCGCGGTTACTGGACCAGGAAAACGGTACTCGATATACCGAAGATGCGTCGATGGTTGGACACCGTTTACGCGAAAAATTACGAGACCGTGGAAGACATGAAGAAGTTGGTACTCGCGAGAAACCTCGACGACGGTTTCGTGTATCGTTCTTTGTCTTTCAGGTTCAGGCAAAACGAGATCGAGCACGCCGAAAGAGTCGTGGAACGCGAATCGATGCAGTGGATATTATTCATGCTGTTCAAGGTACATTTTTTAAATTATTAATACACAGCGAAGAGTATAACTGTACCAATAGCTCCCGTGGTTATTGTCACAGTTATGCTCATAGTATGCATTACGAAAGAAATTTCGAGCGTCGTTGTCGCAGCTTCATCATCTGCTGAGAACGAAACAACAACCAGGCGTGATCACCAGGATCGACAGGACTCGTTTCACTTTCATCGAAGAGATGCTCAAGTGTTTCGAATTCAGACGTTACGCGGGTAGGAAAGTCACTTCCTGCGGCGACTGTCAAATAGATCCTAAGCCGTCGTTGGTCTTCCGCGGGACCTATTACGAGAGATGCGAAAGAGAGATCAGAGAGCTCGAGAGAAGCTTGAAAGCTGGTCTAGTGCCAATATTTAGAAGTACGATGCAATTTGCCTTTATAACTAATCGCAAACAACGTTCGCGAATACCTGGTTAAACGTCCCGAAAGAACCTGACCAGTGTGAAATATTCAGGTTACCCTTACGACAAGCAGGAGAAAGCGTCGCGCAAATTGTACCAAGCGTACCTAGAAGCTTCGTTGCACAGTCGATTCGAAGAAACTCGGTCGGTTTCAGCAACGAAGGGACAAGGTATCTGTCGTCCACGAAAGAAACCAGACTTGCAAAATTACTGCTCCGGAACGAACAAACTCTACGACGAAATAAAGAGGATGGACTGTCACTTGAATCGACTTTGCATGAAGTGTCCGATTCACGACCCTCCACGAAGGCACTAGAATTTTTTAAATGTAATGAAACTTATACCATAAAACTAAGTTCAGCATGCAGAATTATCGTCCAAAAGTTATAATACCAGGAATTTAGACTTACAAAATACTGTTAAAGCAAAGCAAAATACTCCCAAAGCTAACCCAGACCTACTGGAAAGTTATAGTAAGGATTAAACATAGATTTTTGGATCAAGGAACACCGTACAACCCAAAGACGTATTCGAAAATGGTCATCTTTACTAATACGTGTAAATACAAATAAAATATTAACTAATTCGACTACTAGCTACAAACGGTTCTACTAAACGGTGTCAGGTACGCACTTGATCACGCCTCGCACGCAAAAGGAACGTCTATAGATCGCGACATGTGGACTTGTTTCTGACTCAAGTCAGGACTGGCGCCCTTCTCGATCCTCTTCTGCAGTTCCCGAGACTCCTTGTTTATCTCTCGGCAGTGGAACTGGTAGGTCTTCGATTTGGTTTCGGTGGCGGTGCAAGAGGATGGGCAGGCGATAATCGGTCGCGTGGTGAAACATAACTTGCCGTCGATTTTCTCCACTAGCGTCCTGTGAATGGCTGAGCAACGCTTGTCGTTGTTCTTTCGTTGCTTCTGATGGTATCCCCACGCTTCATCTTCCTTGTCGGCTCTTCCGGCATCGACGTCGGTGATCACGTTGGACCGGATCGTTTTGTCCTGGGCCAAGCACTCGAACGTTCTGGCCTTTTGCGCCATCTCCAAGGCCTCGCCCTCGCACTGGTTCTTGGTGAGCGCGTACGTGGCGACGAACTCATCCGGTTTCCTCAGGACGCAGTTCTTCGGGCCCAGGAAGTCGTTCGTGGCGTCGCCGTCGAAGTTTCCGCAGAGACCGCGCACGGAGTCGCGGTAGGTCTCGGATGACTGTTAATCGATCGAAATAATACTCCGATAAAACACTCTGTTCAGCGAGAACTGGCCAGAAAATACAAAGAAATGCCCAACGGATGGCTATTTACCTTGAGTAGAATGCGTTTTCCATCGAATCCAAGCTTGAAGGAGTAATGGTCGGACACAAGACCGATGGAACCATCCGTGAATCTGAATATCTCGAAGAGGACCTTGTCTCCCTGTATCTCTTGGTGGCTCTTGTCCTTGGAGATCTTGATCTCCCGTCCGTTCAGCTTGACCCTGAGGTGGGATTCTCTCGCCAGGAGTAAGATCTCTCGTTCATCGAGCAGAACCTTGACTTCTTTGTCTCCGTCGTCGGTGCCGCGGGTAAGGATGCTCACGCTGGTGTCCTCGGTGAGGCGAAGTTTCTCGTCGGGCTTGGCGGGGTCCATTTTCGGGTAGGTGGTCATCACGACGTGCCAGCAGTTGCCCAGTCTCAGAGGGTACTCTTTACGGTCGAAGGTCTCTGCTCGCGTGTTGTCAAGCACACAGGTTGCTGGAAAACGAACATTTTTTAGTTAGAGCAATCAGAGTCCTCGGTGAAGGTCTTCGTCGAGGTACTTACGTTCGAGGTTGTCGTTGGCCAGCATCTCTTGCATGTCACTGTTGGCCATCACAAGATCGTCAGAAGCGATTCCAAACGGAAGTAGACTAACATCGTCGAACCACACGTCCACGTCTGGAGTGTGCACAACCATGTCGACGGCGTTTAGGTCCGTCGAGACCTTGGCTTTGATATCGATCTTGTTTTTGTCGGCGTTCTTGGGTTTCGTGCTGCCCGTTCGCACGTTGAAGACTCTGGTGTCGTCGATAATGTCTACCACTGCGCTGGCCATCTCCAAAAGTTCGTTCGACGGAATGTCCAGAGTGACATCTACCTGGTCCAACAACGTAGCAAGACCTGCTGCCTCCTGACAGGCCCGGAGAATCTTGTTACCCTGTTTCATTTGTTTCTTGCATTCCCCGACTACGTTAGAGTTCTTGACCGTCTCCTTCATCTGATTGGTCTGGGTGAGCTTTGCTTTCACGTTGATCTGTTTGTTCTCGGAGCAGGTCGTTCCGTAACGGATGGCCACGTCGAACTTCTTCTTGGGCTCGATATTGACGGCCTTCTCGTACATAGGGAGGATGTTGTCGCTCGTCTCGGTTTGCGAAGACGCGCAGACCTCGTACTTGCCCTCGAGCGCAGGCGTGTTGAAGTTCCAGTAGAAGAGGTTTCGTTGCTTGTTGTCGACGTTGCTCTTGGACCAGGCGACGGTGAAGGCGTTGGTCAACTCGAGCTCGCCTGGCAGCTGCAGTTCCACATCCAATACTCCGGACGTCGCCGACTTGATACCCTTGGTCACCTCCTCTAGGAATTGTTTTCTGCGGGAATTGCTGTTCCCTTTCTTGTCGATCGGTTCCACGGCCATCGCTATCGGAGTCCACAGCCGACTGTCCACGGTTTCAGATTGAATGTCCATCGCGTCGATCGTCGCAGTTAGCAACACTGGTTCTTTTACAGGTTGTTCCAGGTCCATGATCAGTTCGATCTTGCGGAACTTGTCGTTGACCTTGCTCCACGGGTACATCAACGTAGAGTATACGTTCTCCATGGACAACAGGTTCTTGTTCGACTTGTCAGCCTCCACGTTCAATCGCCACGCTTTCACCTCCTCGTTAATAAGCGGTATAGAATTGATCATGGTCTCGCCGCTCTGCACCACGTGGGTATTCTTGTCCTCGAGCAGAGGACGTTGATGCAGAATGTCGTGGCTCGAGGTGTAGGGAATTACGCTGTACTGCACCAGTCGTGCCTTCTCCTCGCCCTCCAGCAGCCGGATCTTCAGTTGCACGTTGTTCGGTGCACCCCCTAACTCGACCTCGACGGGCGCGTACATCTGGAAGTTGACGTCGACGCCGGAGATGAAGTGCCTGTGATCGAACGGAGTCACGAAACCGATTCTTCCTTGGACCTTGGTCGAGTGGACCATGCGCATCGACGATTTTATGTCGATGCTCGATCCCTGCATCATTCTGTTGTTCCCGGTGGCTTTGTACAAGGTTGGCACGCTCAAAGTGTGCACGAAAGGAAGACCGGTGTCCGTGGGGAAGCTCAGAACCACGTCGTAGGACATAAACTTGTTCACGTTTATGTAACGGCCGTCCTGCATGCTCGTGAAGTAGGTAGCCATCACTGGAAACGTTGGGAATTATATCGAGAATGTTTACCAAACCGACGATGAATCGTATTCCTGATACTTACATGCGTTGAGATTGTTTAGCTCCTTCTTGTCGAATGGCCAGAAATAGGAGCTGTACTTGGAGTTCCACATTATGTTTCCTTCCATCTTCATAGGCTCTTCCGGTATGATGTTCAGTTCCTCGGCGATCTTCTGCGTCCAGGATCTCTCGGAGGATTGTTTCTTTTGGTCCGCGAAGAGCATATCGATGAGAGGCTTCACGGTGGACAACATCGCCATGAACTCCTTGGGCGGTACTTTGAAATCGCCGAAGGACGAGAAAGATCCGTAGTACATAGATTTAGGGATCAGACTGTCGTCGCTGCCGATGTATTTGATGATCGTACGGTGCATCACGTTGTTCAGGACAGCGTCGTTTACGAAACCGTGGGACAATTGGTAGGCGTAGGTCTCGGTATTGAGCAGGTTGATGACAGCTTGAGCTTTTCGAGCCATGTCCTCCGAGCCAGGGATCTTCATATTCGCCATACTCTGGATGCTGGACTTGACGGCCGAGTTTACCTGTTTGCTGGTGTCGAAGTTCGTGAAGCTCGCTATTCGTTGCAACATGCTCAACGGAGGGTTCGTTGTCATCAGGAGGAAGATGGCCATGCAACGGACTTCGTGGGACTCCTTGGTATTCAGATAGATCTTGTAGAGGATCAAGCGCGTAAGTCTAGGATGCATTTCGATGAGCTTGCTCAGAGACGAGACGATCAACGTTCTCTGGAAGACGGTGACCGGTTCCTTTCCTTCGAGGTAAGGCTCGAACACAGAGAGGATCTTGGGGTGCCCGATGCTGCCCAATGCCAGGATGTACGTCTGCATCCGTTTGCTGTCGCGGTCCATGGCAGCCTTCTTCAGCTCGTTGGCCAAGTACGGGATGTACTCGTTGACGACTGTCTTGTCGTTCTTGGGCGTCATGCGACCGAAAGTGTGTACCGGATAGAGATTGTGGATGGTCTTGTCGTTCACTTGCGAGAGACGAACCAGCTCGGAGAACGCCAGGATCGACGCGGTGTTCAGGAGCTCCTCTTTCATCACTTTCGGGTTGGTGGCCAATTGCTATTCGGAACAAAATCAACTTATACACGAATCGTTCGGAGATTTTTAATGCTCGAAATCGTGGAGATACTTACGAAGAATGCCTTGACGTACTCGGCGGTAGGCGCGCGTGCAGTTTTCGGGATCCGCGAGACGATGCCGGCAGCCTCGAGGCCAGTGACGTCTCCCTTCTCGATCCAGTGCTTGATGGTCAGCAGAGCTGGTCCTGTTCCAGCCTGGGTGACGGCGTCCCTCAACACGGCCCAGGCGTTCTGCTTCACCGCTTGGCTCTTGTCGTTCGATTTCAGCTGGTTGGGCGAGATGAACACTTCGTTCGCGATCGACATCAGCTTGTTCCTGCCCATCATGCGGATCAGGTCGATCACGAGCGTGAACTTCTCGAGGGTCCCTTGGCTGGGGATGTTGCTAGCGTCTTCGATCTCGTTGGCGATCTGGTAGATCAGCTCCTTGGCGAGTTTCTGTATATCGATGTTCTTGGACTTGTCGATGAACTTGCCCTTGTAACCGATGAAGTTGGGCAACAGAGGGATCTGCGGTGGGTCCTCCAGCGTGGGCCTCGGCTGCCAGAATTGTTCGTCGCTGCTGGAGATCCAGCCGCTGTTCTCGGAGCTGGCGCTGTCGGAAGTCTCCATGTTGGAGTTCAGAGCTTCCGTTTGCTTGCCGTTTCTACGATCCTCCATGTCGGAGAACGGATCGGCGTAGACGTAGACGAGGTTGCCGGTGGATTCGGGGTTCGACGGCCCGGACAACTGAGACTTCACTCTGTTTATGTTCGCCAGGGTCAGGTTCATCACGCTGACGACCACGCCGTTCTGGTTGTCGTAGAACCGAGGGCTGACAAGGATCCGGCTGGTCGTTACCGACGATTGGATCGTGAAACGCTTCAGGTTCCCGGAAACTATGATTCTGCTCGTGGAGGATTTCTGTGGGGACCAAAATTAGATTTCAAGACACGGATTTTATGTTTTTTCCTTGTATTGTTATTAAAAACAACCAAGATAAAACATAGAATCGCGAGACAAGACAAAAGTGGAGATTTTCTGGCGGGAATTACGACTCACCGAAAGGAATTCTCCATTGAGGTTGGAGCCAGGTTCCCAATCGTTCTGCCCGGAGATACCAAAGTGGTAGCCCATTCTCTGGTCACACCTGCTGAAGTTCCTCGTCTTCATGATGTCGATGTGCATCCCGTTGCCTTTCAGATCCGGCATCGGGACCAACTCGGGCTGCAGATCGATCATGTGCTCCGACAGGGGCATGATGTCGTAATGAACCTCGCATTTGCCAGTGACGGTGTCCTCCATGGCGCGGAATATACCGAATGGTTCCTCGTCGGTGGGTTCCTGGATGTCGCGCTTCTTGATGGCGTTCTCGCCTTGGGTGTCCACCTGGAGCTGGCTGACGATGCTCTTCAGGATGTTCAGCTCCCAGGTGGGAACGTCGCGATCCACGATCAGGTCTCTGATTATCCCGTGGCCGACCTTGATCAAGAACGGCTGACCGGAAATCGGCAGCTCGCGCAGGTCGAGCATTTGATCGGAGATCTCAGAGTGCCAGCTGCCAGGCAGGCTCTTGTGGATGCGAGCGTACTGGCAGTTGGACACTTTTGCGACCAACGTGTTACCGTCCCTGACCTGGATCGTTAGGTGAGCTTTCAACAGAATACCTGCGGCCTGGTCCGAGAGCTTCTCCAAACCGGTGAGCGTTCGACTTCGCACCAGGTAGGTGTACTCGTTGCCGATCTTCCAGCCATGCTCGAAATCGGCTGAACATGTTCCCGCTGTGGATCGAGAAAAATTTCGTCAGCTTGCACCAAAGTTTTGAAACCGATGAGCTTCGAGCTTCCGTCTTGTTTTCAAAAGCGATTTAGATCGCGGAGAGTTTCGTTCGATGGTGTTTTGTAACTCTCTGCTTTCACTTACCTAGTATCAGCAATGTTAGAGGTAGCCACATCTTGAAGACGTAGAATTCGAGAAAGTGACGACGCATCTCTAAGAATCTGCAGCATTTATACCGATATCGTGCCTCGTCAGCAAACTGGAGCTCCGATACTGTTCCCTTGAACTTGATCCGCTGCCAATACGCGTTACTGTCTTTATCAATCCTGCGCTTTGTCGCACGGTTTCTTGATATCTGACGACGAGGTCAAGCTCGATCTTCTCGCAATTTCGAATCGATACGATCGCATCGTGTTTCGCGAAGTCGAATGCAACATCTTTCTTGAGAAATATGATTTGGAGTAAGTAGATGAAGAATCCTATGTCCAAATCCCTTCTTTCTTTTATATTCTTTTAGTTTACAAAAGTAATAACGATCTCGTAACATATTTATTTCTAATTGACATAATTTCCAATCAGTAACGTGGCACTCGAGCAAATTGATCAACAATTGTTTCACATTAATGTAATAACGTAATAATGAAAATTTGTTGAAAGGTATCCGTACCATTGGAAGTTTTACATTTTCATTCAAAGTTGTAGAAGAATATTATTATAAAGTGGTGAATGTAAATAGCTGCACTAGCAATAAAACTACTCGTGGGGTTATAAGTTCGAGGCTGTAATATCTCTAAGAAACATCTAAACTTCCTGTTGCGTGCCACCACACGCTAGAAACTATTATGCGTTGTCAGCGCTTTTCGCCCGATTCTTTCTCGATCGTAATGTATCGATAAACTCGTAAGAAGATAAGAAGGCAAAAAGTATTGTTAACTTTCTTTGCACTATTCTGGCAGAATAATTAAAATTCTATAGTAAAGGTAATCGAATTATTAAACTGTTCGAGCCTTCTTAAATTTTATTTTTTTACGAAGTATTGCAATTTGATAGAGTTCTTTATGAAATAATGGAACACGTTCGGGCCTAAAGGATTAAACGACACGCTCCTTTCTAGGATTTGCAACCCCGTGAAATTTAATTGAAAAATTTCGGTTCACGGGACGTAACAGAACAGATGTTTACGGAAAAATAATATTTATTAAAATATATTTCACATAGTCATATTCTCATTCTTTGCTTATACATACACGTTCCTTCATTCCCATATCATGCACAACAAGTCGTCCAACGAGCATTCACGTCACAGTTAATAATACTTTAAAACAAAGTGCTTTCGTTTTATACATATGTTTACGTTTTAAATACTAATTAGCGCGAACGAGGCGCGACTTTCCAGCTGTGCACGCGGCATTCTCCGTTTCGACGTCCATTCGCGAAATTGTGGCTTTAATAATCGTCGTCATGGACTCGTATTCCTGAAACGAAAACAAAATTCGCAAATTATATATTTCTTAAACACAATTTTAGAAATATCAAAATTAGATCGTTGGAGCAAACATCGAATTTTAAAAATATTTATCACACGATGACAGACCTAACATCCAGCTCGCAAATAGTGATTACGTTCGGTAACCTTAGGTCAATTACGTTTACACTGCATCATAGTCTATAATACAACGAAAAATTAAACGTTTCATGATGAAAACATCTTGAAAAATGGTTTCAAGTTAAAATTTTAAAACATGTTCAAACTAGTACTATTACTGAGACAGTCCGCGGATTAATTTTTAGTATAATTTACAAGTCATTCAAGATGAGATTATGAGACTATGAGACTATGAGTAACCAATATGATTAAAAAACATCGGTACGCGCACCACGTGCACGTTTCCGTTAAAAATTGGCGCGCGTGTTTATCTCGATGCTGCAACATTATCACAATTTCGCTGCAATGTCGCCACGCGTTCGTTTCGACCGGGGAAAAAAACAGATTGCATTCTCGCTGATTAATTCAAGAAAATTACGACACTCCGCATCCGGTCGTCGGTTTCTATGCTTCCTAGGCACATCCGCGGTCGTGGCGTTGCAACATAATCGCGCGGACGATCGAAGAATAATCCGACCACTCGTTTAGGTATCATCTCTTCTAAATTTAATTACGATATATCGCTCGAGAACGACACACTCTAACGTTATCGTTTATCCAGTGCAAATCTCTCTACTCCGATACGAGACGACGTTAAAATTATTCTGCGAGGAGAAACAAATGGGCCAGAATCCTTTGGCGAACGAAATAATTACATCGTGGATCATTTTAAATTATAAAAATGATCGCCCAAGTCGAAGGACGTAATTGTTTGGGCAAATAAATTGTTCGACCGTTGCTCTTGTCGGGAACAATCGATTCTAATTACCTCTTCGACATCGACGTCGACCTCCTGAAGGACCTCGTCGAGGGCGGAGCACAATTGCTCGACGTTTTCGATGGTAAACACCATGGGCGGTTTCAGTTTCAGAACATTATCATCCGGACCGTCGCTGCTGATCAGGATCTTCTTCTCCTTCATCCTGGATACGACGTGCTTCGCCTCGGCGGTCGCTGGTATCCTTTTGATCCTGTCGCGCACCAGCTCGATCCCAGCGAACAATCCTACGCCGCGAACGTCGCCGATGATCCTCCGTCGTTTCGCCAGCTTCCTCAGCTCGGTCATCAAATGTTTGCCCACCTTCAGGGCGTTCTCCTGGAGATGCTCGCGCTCTATCACCTCCATCACGGCGTTCGCTATCGCGCAGGACACGGGATTACCGCCATACTGAACCGTGGAAAACGAGACACCAAACGTGAGTACAACAATTATAATTACAAGGGCTATGGGAAGCCATAAAGTGTTCGATGCTGTTCTATGTGAAATAATTGAGAACGACGTGGTATTCTGGAAGGATCATTAAGATCAAACCTATTAAGTTCATTCTATAGTTTTTTGAGAATAAAAATTTAGTCCGCAATCTAGTTATTACTGGTATTAGAACCAAATTCCTTTCGCATCCCTTCGACTCGTTCTGTTTTCGAAACGTCTTCGATAATTACCGTGTTGAAATACTCGATCCCGGTGGCTTTGAAGCTCTCCGCGATGGCGGGGGTTGTAATGACCGCCGCCACGGGATGGCCATTTCCCATGGGTTTGCCCACGGTGACGATATCGGGGATAACATCGTCGCCACCAAGTTGGAAAGCCCACGTATGGCTGCCCACTCTACCGAAACCAACTTGGACCTCGTCGGCGATGCAAACGCCGCCAGATTCGCGAACATGCCTATCGACAATTTTCTGATAACAACGATATCCAATTGCATATACACGCAACGCATATTATACGATAATATCCAATTTTCGTCGATGGAAACGGTCTCCGTTCGAGTCGTCGAAAATGTACGGTTTGCTCGAAAGAGGCACGAGTTTGGAAGTTTCGGGTATCAAAGGGAATTATGGCGTGCGGACGAATAGAAGAAAGTGGCTGGAAATTTGAAGGTACGACGAACTGGAGCGGATAAATGAAATTTGGAACCAGCCAGGTGGGTGTTAAGCGAATTAGGTTGTATAGGTGAAGCGGTAGACGAGCGAACAGCGTTTTCTAGACGAGACAACGCTGATAAACGTTCCGTTTCTGTTCAAGACGTTCCTTTAACGCTACAGCTACCGACAAAATTATACCGTATCTATTTGCACCAAAGAAATTAAAACGACAGACACGCGAAGAAATGTGTAATGCGATCGAAATAAGCGTTTATTCGTTCCCTTATAGAAAACTCTAGTATTAATTTCATTTTTATGAGTTTCTGATTTTCGTATCGACATATTTTAGTACGTGTTATGAATTGAACGTAGACTAGGATCGATTTAACTAATTAAAAGCGAGTGGTAGGTACCTGTACGCGTGTCTGAAGTAGTTTTTAGGTGGTAGAATTTGTCCACCGACGGAAATTAAGCTCTCCGCGATGAACGCGCTTACGCCACGACCCTGTGCATTCAAGTTTTGGCAAATGTTCTTCACGTCGTTCGCGTACTTCACGCCAAGATCCTCGTGAGGGTAATCGGTTTCACGATACTTTCCACGGTAAACGTCCGGACAGGGTGCCTGGAAGCACAATTTATTCGTTTCTGATAACTACTGTTCTACGAGTCCCAGATTTTGAAGCGATGAAACAACGTTTCTTACCACGTGGACCCAATCCTTCTTGCCAGTCCCGTTCGGTTTGTTGAACTTGTACGGCGATATATCGATCATCGTGGTCAAATGGCCGTGATAAGCACTAAAACCAGAAAGAACAACTTTGAACGAAATCTTTCTCCAGTCCTCGGGTTTGTTCTCTAAGCTTGCCGAAGAAATTCTATAAAGTAATTGTTTTCAGTGCTTCTACGTTGTCCTCCGTGCAAAGATGAAGCTAAAATCGACTTCCGTCCACGACGATTAAACGAGGATCCCTGAAAATGTTATTCCCTTCTTTCTTCGACGATCGTGATCGAGAAACGAAATATAAAAAAAAAAAGAAATAAAAAAATTGAGAAAAAAAAAGGCTTGAATCGTTGCGACAACCGAGCACCGAAAGGAACCATAAAGAATGCCACTGTAAGAAGAAAACGTCTTCTCTTCCGTGTATTCGATACGAAATCTTGGATAGAACGTTTTGGAAAAATTCTGAAGATTGATTACGAATTCCATCCAGGAACATTCCTTCCGGTTCTTTGATATTCACACTGACGACTTCCGTATCGGTAAACGAGGCAAAGGGGAGTGCAGAAGATGTAAGATTACGTTATCAATGGACCTAATTTCGTGTAATGGAGATTACGATGCGGTCGTTGCAGCAATGATTGTTCACGGGTCGTTTGCAAAGCACTCTATCGTCGCAAGCGAAAAATGGAACAGATGTGGGTGGCGCAGCTGCAACGGGCACGAATGTAACATGAGATTAATAGTGCTTTTACACGTCAACAAGAACACTGTCGCAATTGTTTCTTCGACAAATAAGAACATTCGTTCGGAAATTTTCGTACGAGTCACGCAACAAATTCTGATCTCGATCATCTATCCTCTATCAAAGCACGGAGTACTCGTTCGAATAGAAGGAGGAAGAGTAACAATTACTTAAATATCGCGACAGCAGCATCGCTAACGTGTCCACGGTTTTAACAACGTAATCTCACTCGGTATGTTTGGTAATTTCATAAGTCTTTGCGTAATTAATTGTGCTAACTCTCGACTATGAACTAAAAATATCTATATTAGTCTAGACAGTCATTTGTTCGGTCTTTTTCGTGGACAATTTGAGCGTTTTGATCTGGCAGTTAATATGTTAAAGAAGAAGTTATAACTCCTACAATTCTTAATATTTTTTGATGAAAAAAATACTATACATACTCATGAGACGAATAAATACGACTACAAAATCTCAGTACGAAACAGCCTATCTATCATTAAAAAAAAACCCATCACATAATTTGCTCGAGCTAAATTACGCAAAGACTCGTGAAACGACTCGATGAACGTGATCGAAAAAGAATTTCGAGTCATCTGGAGGCCCTCTTCGCCCCTCCTATTCACAATACACTCCTGAATTCAGTTATTTCGTATCGTCAACATTCATCCGTTCCCACGGGGAGGACGCGGTCCGCTCCAATCGCCCGGTTAAGTGGAATCCTTTCTAACAGAATATAAAAGAGTACTTTTTTTTTCTCTCTGTCTCTCTTCTTGTCGTGTTGCGTACGTGGCACGTTCGTGTCACCTAAAACGACAATAGCTTTATTCGTCGTTCGTGGCCGACTTCTTCGCCCCCGTTGTATTTTTCCCTGTGGCCCCGTCGCTCGTTCTGGAGAATCAACGGCTGTAAACAGGCAAAAAAGAAACCCACACGATTAGTCGGCTGTCGAGGAACGGCGGAAAACTTGTACACGCGGCCCGTACCATCGAGCTCGCATAATCGTGTGCCTCAAAACGCCTCCGTTACTCTAGCGTGACGTCGTCTCGCGTTGGCTATTCCCGCAGTATTATCGACTATGGCCGAGAATTCTCGTGAAACTCGAAAGACGAACAAAAGGTTCCCCTGTAAATCTTTCAGACTCGTCTCGTTCCCGGATACGGACATTAGTGTGGTACGCAGACGTTCATTTTCGCTTTTGGACTTTCTCTCAACTATTTATCGTGTGCGTGGCGTACGCGAAAACGAGGTACAAAAACATTTAGACGGAAAAGCCAACAAAAAAGCAGCGAGGCCCTGTTGTGCGCAGCGCTGAGGCCCAAGCTGAATCAATTGACCGCTCGAGGCCACCGTACCCCCACAATCCGTCCACCCCCCCCCCAGTGAAGGGGACGCGTGACCTCGCGCGATCGACCGAACTCGAACAACGATCGATCTCGTTTGCGTTATTTTTCATAGTTTTCGCGTTGAAATTGTTCTAAAACCGGAGGAACGAAAAATAACGGGACAGCGAAATCGGTCGTGCGTGTTCACGTCTCGTTTGCTCGAAGCAAGTCATTTTCGAGTTACGCGATGACTTACTGATCGAGAGCGATGACGTCCTTGTTGTTGGTGTGCGTGTGCGCGAGACGCAGGGCTAGATCGTTGGCCTCGCTGCCGGAGTTCACCAGGAAGCACACGGAAAGTGGTTCCGGAAGCAGCGAGGTCAGACGCATCGCGCAGATCACCAGATCGTCGTGGAGGAAACGATTGTTGGTGGAGAGAAGCGCCATTTGTTGTTGTCCGGCGCGCACCACCGTCGGATGACAATGCCCGACTGTCAAACAATGTTGTTAAAAATACAATCTAATTCCAGGTCTGCCTCGAACAATTAAAATTTGATACGTCAACCCCTTGACGTACGATTTGATGTAATTTTTCAAAGGTATACTATTCAGAAAAAGAATAAGACTCGACGATGAGAGAGTTAGACTAATCAACTAGGTGATGTCAAGGTGTACAATTATTATAGCAAAAGAATAACAAGTAATCGCGTAGAACTGTAATTTGATTTGTTATCTACTTTAAAGGATTACTTTTTCGTACACGTGAGCGCTCGACTCTAGTTAATCTTTTGTTTTCCAGACGGAATCGAGATATCTATGATAGCGTAAACGCGTACGATGCTCTCGAAAATCGATTCTAGGATAGATAGATGGAGAGATCGAGGCGGTATGGAAAATATTGCGTGGTTACGATTGATTGGCATTTCTTTTCATACCGTGTGCAACATTGTTGATACAGTCCAAGTATCGATTGCCATTCTCGTCGTACATGTACTGACCCTCGGCTCTGACAATCTTCAATGGGTTCGACTTGTAAAACAATGTGCACGCCTGTCTGCAAATGCGATTGTTGCACGTGTATTAGCCGTTTGTGTTAACGGTTTCGTCACTCAATCGTTCTGATCGATAATAACAAATAACGACAAATAGGAGACACGATCGATGGAAACGCTTACCCGATATGACGCTCTCTAAGCCTGATCGTCTCCGATTTTGGCATCTGTTCCAAAGATTCTGCCATGGCGAATGTCTATGGAAATAGAAAATTAATTCGATTATTCGATAACACCGTTGGTTTAGATTCGAATTGAAACTGTATTCGATGTTCGTGTTCGAAAGGCTTCCTAAAATTCAGAAACCAACGAGAGTCTCCTCTCTCTAACAGTTTTCCAGTATTTTTCCTCGCCTGGAAGGAAGACCGAAACGGTTAACGATCGCGTGTAGTAAAGAATTTATCGGAAACGAATAAAACACGAATGGTAAAGTTTCCGTGGAAAGCAGGGTATCGGGCATTCCCCATGGGATAAGTAATTTTCCAGCGGCTGATAAGTGCACGTGATTACTACGTGAAAGTAGTACTTCCATACGCTCTTTCGTCCATAGTCTCCATGCCGCGAGATAAATCGAGTGTTAGAAAAAACAACATATCGCTTTCTTGTTCGCACTATCGCGAACGTGCCCGTATCGGTTTACTTATATTATTATATTCCGTTAATCGAACCGCCATTTTTAACCACGGTCTCCCTAATAACAATCTGATATTATCACCAATCTATTCAATAATAACCCGACACGCCCACAATATAAATAGATCGATGTATCGTTTCCGATAACGTAACTTTAATGAAAGGCGGCTGCATATCGTTCGAATTTGGACAATTTAATAATTTCAATGACAATTGTACGTCAAACTGCTATTTCGATACCGGAAATGCAATGGAAATTAATTGGAAGAATGGAAAAGAAGCGGAGAATGAAAAATAAATAGAAACTTTTGTTAAAAGTCTAATGAATCGTGCGGAGAACGTATGAATTAACGAACGTGGCGTACCCGATAAACGAGGGTGTAGAAGGAATGAATGGATCGGCGAAGAAATACGGGAGCCCTCGGCTCGAACGGCTGTTAAACGAGCAGGCGCGTAAGACGCGCGCAGAAATCAGCCCGCGAAAGTGTTTCGTCACGGAGGAACGCCCACGCGCGAACAGATCGCTCGACGGGAAGAGCAAAGTCAGCGAGATCGTACCTGAACTCGTGGTAATCGTATAAGTCACACAGTTCCTCGACTTCTGAATGCAGCCGTCAGCTGAGTGCCGCGACCTACTCCGGTGACGTCATATATAGTGCTTGCCGATTGTCGAGAAGAAAGCGGGGGGCTGCGCGCGCATCGTCCTCTTCGACCTAAAGCGATATTAGAACACTCTGCCCCCACCCAGTCGACAGTTCGCAATCGCGACGCGCGCAAGCGGATGCAGGATCTAGATCGATCGTCGCTATTTCAACTGCTTCTTATCGCCTCCCTTGATCCATACTACTTACGAAGATCCACCGAACATAAAAATTCGACTACATATTTCGCTCAGCCTTGCCGCGAGATCAAACAAATTGCTTTTGAGGTTAAAATTAATAATAATCTAAGGCCACAATGTGAATAGAATCTATTATGATTGCACTTTGCATGTTGAATCATTGTCTTTTCCGATGTATCTATTTATATTTTGACATGTTTTACAATCGTGACGTTTGTTATGAAACTTCACAGCATCTTCTGTTTCTTTCTTCTTTGCTTTTTTTTCTTAGCATTGTACCATAAGTCTAGTCATATTTCTTTTTTTAATCTTGTTACGTCTCAAGGCCAGAGCCCGGTGTTTTATAACTCTTCGGTTGAAAACTTTTTAACGAAACTTTGGCTCGTCCTCTAACGTTCGCTCGTTTTGTCAACGTTGTATAGTTTTGCATTATATCTCTTCGTACCGTGTATTAATAGTTTCCAAGCATATTCAAAGCTCTCGTGACTCGGCGATTCCAGGATATTAATGTTAATTTACGAAGAATTTGCGAGAGCGTAGACAGCTTTACAGCCCATCGCTCGAACGAAACTCAGCAAATCTTAAAAAATTATACTTTATCACCGTACGATACCGTTCTTCGTATTATTTTCCTTGTCAACATTGGGAACTTTCCAATAAATAAATCAAATCAAAAGATTCTTAAAGAAACAAAACCAAGATTTTATTTGGAATTCCTTCGATAGATCGTTAAGGATCTATTGCAAGCGTATTGTCTGTCTGACGGAAGCGTCGCGCCGATATCGCGAACGTAGATAATAAAAGGAAAAGCAGAAAGACCGTGATTGTTCGTCGGATATAGCAAGATCAGAAGAATGATGGAGATTGAACGAAGTATATGTAGATCGCTAACGGGCTACATCGTACGATACACAAGCAGAAATATATCAGCAAATGGAACAATTAAATATTCCATTGAAAATAAAGTAGATGTATCGGCGATACGATAACTATTTCGAACGTCAGAGGAGTTCTATTTTTCGAAATCACGTTCGACTCTTGTTTTTATCGTGTCGTTATCGTATTACATGGAACAACATGTTATCGCGTTGCATAAAATTACAGATCGATCGCACGTATCGAGATTTCGGATAAGCTTCAACATCTAACAAACATCGAACAGATCGTTCGTACGAGCGCTGGATGTAGTACGTCGACGACAATCGATCCAGGAGTTTGCTTATCCCGCGAACGTGTATGCACCGTGACCAAACCGATGAACAATTACGTTTCCGCGCGATAAAACGTTCCTCGGACTCGTTATCATTCGCTAATACGTCGCGAGCGTAATTTCATATACTGGTCACGTGCGGTCGTTATTTGATCGCGTTTCTCGAAACGTGAAACGACGTTTCAAAGTTTTAGCCAACGTAATGTCGTTTCAACTTGAACGAGAAATCGTTTCCTTATTTGGTAATAAAAATTTTTGGAAATAGATACAAAGACGTTTGTTTCTGACAGTTTCTAGGAAAAATTTAGGTTCGTTACCGCCTGAATGCGGAGTTCCGACGACGCTGACGATCCTCTTGATCCTTTCAATTTCTAGACGAAGGATTTACACGATTCGATCCACGATCTCTGGTTCGTCGATAAACGCAGCTCAGGACGAGCTCGATGCAACGCTGTCGCCGCGTGAGACACTGAAACTCGCACGTCTATTGATAGTTTCATGCAAAGAACGTCGACCTCGTGTATAATAATCGCCTGACATTGGCACCGTGACTGACAGTCGAGTCTATTGCGTTTAGAATGTTTTCCTCGTCGCATGGCCGATTCTACGCGTAGCTCGATCAGTATTCGCTCGATTAGGTATCTGACATCAGGCTAGTCCAGCGTAACCATTACTCGACAAAAGAAAATAATTATGTTGGATTCTAATCTGACGCTAATCATCGTAGCGCGTTAGATTTTTTAGATACTAAGAGCTCGAATTGATAAGAATTGATTTTTTAACAATATCATATTTTAAATTGATATTTCTTGCACGAGTTTATATTAGATCAATTTATCGACGATATTAGGTTTTACAGAAAGATCTGCATAGTTCCTGACTCGTACATAACGATCTATGACGCGGAATTTCTGCTAGAAGAATACATATAGACACGCTGGACAGAGATCAGAGTTTCAAAGATAAAATAACACTTAAAATAGTTCGCGATAAACATAATTAAACCCGTTGTACGTTAATTGTACTCCAAAGAAGATAAGAGTTTCTTTTAACTAAATATTGGAAGCATTCTTCCAAAGTTGGATCAAGGAAAAGACACGTGCACTCGATAGAATTGCAAAATCATATTCTTGGAAGGAATTTGGTTCGATTAGCATCGGATGATCCAGAAGGTCGCGAGGCAAATACAATGTCAGAGTCGCAGAGGCACACGACGATGAGTGTCCCGTGAGAATTTCATTAGCGTGGTTCAACGATTGCATTTAAACGAACCGCGTTCTGCATCGTCGAAAAATTTTCCATTACCTCAACGTAAATTTATTTTCGTTCACGGATCTTATCGACGCGAGACGCGGATTAACTCGCGTGTTGAAATTTGCACCTGAATCCGACTTTTCCACGAGTCAACAGCTGACTAAAAATATAGGCTAAGATCTGTCTCAACAATTGCACGGTAAATAAATTCTGTAAATCTTTGTGTCGTGAAAGGCATGAAACTTCCAGACGTTTCTGTTTGGTTGAATTTGATGACACTCTCCTATATTCAGAATTCCAAGTGGTTTTTAACAAACTTGTGGAACTTTGAAATTCGACCTTTCGATAGCATTGGTGGAAGTTGTAATTTTGTGATTAGGCTTTCTCAGGGAGTCCTTGTGACCGTTTCACGATGATTTTTATAATTTCTTAGTAGAACGTCTATGTTGAGACGGGGTCTACGCTTAGGGCAAACACAGAGGGTCCGTGCGACGGAACAACGCGAAGGTAAACACGGTGGATGACACGTGCCGTATGTGAACGATAGTGATACGCACGTGATAGCCACTATCGCGACACGAGTGATCTCTTGGTCGTACGTCTGCAACCAGCCTCCGTCCATTGTTTACAGGAACACATCTAGCCATTGCTCACCGACAAACATTCCGATTACAATGCACCAATACGAAACCGAAGATCTCGCGACGAGATATAGTCCACTTCTTTTTCAATTTTTATTCGATCGTCATAAATTGAATTGATCGATAACCTGAGAATACATAGTCAACCAATACGTAACACAATGTTTACCATTGTCACGTGCTTCTTTTTTTAAACGGACAACTTGTTTTTCAATTTTTATTCGATCGTTGTGAATTCTTATTCTGTCGTGATTAAATATGCAACCGATAACACAACGCTTACCATCTTCACGTGCTTGTTTTTTAAAATGGACAACTTGTTTTTCCACCGTTGCGTGTTGGAAAAGTGCAGAAGTCTCCTATCATCTGTAAATAAATAAATAATATTAGGATCCATTGTCATCGCGTGAGCCTGTGAAATTGGCTGGTCGTTTTTTGGCCGATATCATACAGTCTGGCGTCCGATGAGTATCTCCTGGTTCTCCGGACGTCGAATCTCGACCGCTATGCAAATTGTTTTGCAAGACTCCATCTGCTAAACGACGCGTAACGAGCGATTATTCCCTCCTAACGCGTAAGAGGTCACCGCGTTCTAGTCGCTGATAACATTCACGAAGATACGAGCCTTGGAGCGAAATGAACTCTGATGGATCTCGCCCGATCGTACCGCTTCGACTGTTCCGCGTCATAAAAAGAAAAATTCTTTACTCTCGAGAGCCAAGGAATTAATTAACGCCTCCCACTGGATATCGATGACCTGTAATATTTTAAACGAACGTCGAAAGCGAATCCATAATTGCGGTATCATTATTGATTTCACCTGAGGAAACAAGGGGTTGAAATACGTACCCGGGAAAATGATCTTGATTTTAGATCTGTTTATCAGTCATTATTTTCTTAATCGAATGTCGTTGCCTGGTGTAAACGAATCTTCAAGCTTGAGTCTGTAAATGTAATCTGGAATTAGAATTGTTCTAGATTCGTTGCACTCGAATTCCTATTGATAAAATTAAAAAAAAAAAATGAATTTTCCACTTTTCGCAGTCGGTAGGACTCGAACCTACGCTCCCAGAGGGAATCTGATTTCTAGTCAGACGCCTTAACCACTCGGCCACGACTGCTACGTTCACTTACTCTGTATAGCAGTATTTTCAGTTATAAATAAAATTTATTTCAATATAATAGTCCTAGACTCGTGAGTCTACGATAAGATAGTCACGGACTCGTAAATTTCCGATACGATAGTCACGAACAACTGAGTATTCGACGTTATAGATTTAAATATTTGCAAGTCTTCGATCTGATAGTAAGTTTTCGTTATTATTGAATCTAATATGGAAGTCCCGAGCATTTAAGCCTCCGACATGATATTCCAGTACTTTCCAATTTACGATCGTCTTCGATTTGTGATTAATTTTCACGACGACACCTAGATTTTCAGTGTCTCAGGGATGAACAGGAAACACGGCTTGTGAAATGAAAAATTGTATTTCAACAAACGAAGGACGCAATTAGAAATTGAAATTTATTTAATAGACATTATAATATATTGATATCTACGTTAATCAAGTACAGCGAACCAAGTGGCTTACGTCGTAGAATTTTATTTATAATTATTCGACTGTAAAAATGTTGTCGCTCGGAACCGCGTAACGTCGACTACAAATCCTCGTTACATCTCTTCCGTTTCTGTTCCGTTAACGCGTCGGCGTCGAAGAAACGCGACACGGGCCTTTTACAATGCGGAATAATACAATTTGTCAATCGTCGAACGCAAGGTGGCGATCGATCTTTTACAAATAGAATAGCAACGCCATATAATTGTTACGAAAAACCATCGAACGGGAAAGAGTAGAATTTCATTCGCGACAGATTCAACAGAACGGTACATCACTTTCGAAACGCAACATCCCAGGCTGCCGAAAATTAACGTTCTCGCGTGGGAGGGCACAATTATATAGTTTCGCGAAACGAGTAACTATATTGCGAAGCAACGTCGAATTTACAATTTTAAAAGCGCGAAAAGAATCTGCTCCGAAATCGAACACCGAAATCGCATATTCTACCATTCCGTGTCTTAGCTAAATAAACATTTACAAATGAGTTCCCGAAGCCTCGTCGTTCTCCTTTCCATCGTTCGGTTAAAATGTTTCACGGACGACGGAGAGCAACGTCGAAATAAAAATCTATGAATCGTTCATCTGTTTCTATCGATGACCCGAGCGAGACGAGAAACATCCAACGGACAAAGTGAATTTCATTTTTTATTCCTTTTTCTTTTGTTTTTTTTTTTTTTCTTTTATTTCTTTTTATTTATTTATTTATCGTTTCGTCGCTAGCTACTGTTTCGTTTCTCGTCTCGTTCGATCGGGTCGCGTGTCTCAGCCGCGAATAAAAGTGGCTTTTCACCGTCTAGATTGCTTAATCCACGCGCGTTTCGAATCCGCGCACGCGTGTTTTCGAGTAATTACTCACACCTATTAATGCAATGCGATCGTTAATGTATATACAACTTTTATAATTGCTCGTTTAATCAATGATGCCTTCCGTAAGACCGAAAATACGTGTATGGATCTTGTTGCTCGCGTTGATATTTCCGGGACCTCGCGTTTCTACCAAGCTTTTTAAATGCAACCCGAGATTGCAATCATGCTAGACGAAGGTCTACAGTCGCGTTCTAATTTGTCGATATCTATTCAGCGATTATTATCGCGATTGCACGCCGCGTCAGCGATCAAAAGAATTTCTATTCGCTCGAGACGAGCGACATTTTCGTGTGATATTTACAGACACCGAGTGTTCCATTAACGGTTTCCTCGTTATGCATTTACACGTTCCAGCGATTTATATTCTCTATATATAAACATACTTGTATTCGTACAAGGTTGGGTACTCGGGGAGTCTCTAATCAATACCAAAGGACCAAATATTTCAGATTGAGAGGAAACACTTCTTCGTCTTCTTCTCATTCTTCGAAATTTTCTTCAGTTCTTTTCGATCAAGTGTAAAAATATAAATATTTTATCGCTTCCCAATATATTCTCTTTATTTACTCGTGCCTCTTTTCTTCTAAAATTGATAAAGATACAGATACAGAGAGAAGCGCGCGATGTCCAGAAAACGTTCCACGTACGCTCTTCTACGGATATTTATCGTTCACCGCCATAACAGTGCAAAACTTGGCGCTCTGAAGCACAACGGCTGTTACTACTAATTCGAAACTCAAGCTTCGACGCGATTAAACGTTAATGACTCGCAAGTTTCCCATAAAATTTTCGATTATTAAATTTTTATTCCTATGGTTTGCAATTTTCGACGATTCGGTTTGTTCGAAAGTGGAACGTTCGCTGGACACGTGCGCGAAGGAAAGTGAGTCGCGGAGTAGTGTTTTCACGTTGTTCGAATATAGAAACGCGAGTGTTACTCACACGCTCGCACTTAGCCTAGCGAAACGGTCGCGGATCGCGTCGTTGAAGGTTTACGCGAAAGAACGCGCGTTGAGCAAAAGGAAATCTAGCAGTTCTACGGTCGGTCGTCCTAGGATCCGTTTGTCCCCTAATCGTTAACAATCGAACCACGGGGAGGACGATTCACGGCGGTCCCCGTTCTCATCTCGCCTGATCGCGTTCCGTCTAAGTGAAAAAATGGGATCGCCGATATACCTAGTGTCACCTCTAAACGCTATATAGGCTAGCGAGACGTCTACGCCTATGGATAAACGCTATCGATTATACGCACAACACGCAAGAGTGAACCTAGAGCAAATACTACGGCGCTTGTGGATCTGTTTCGCGAACTCTGCTCGCTGGTATATTTATATATGTACATTCGGGGCGGTTTGTCAACGGTATCTACACTCGAACGTCGCCACCCAACCCCCCTCGTTGAGTTTTTCATTTTCGAATCGAGAGATTTCTCGCAATCTCGCGCCCAGTCGGAGATCGTTCAGCCAGATTTTTATCGTTTAATCATCGAGGGAATTTAGAAGGACTGAACCAATCCCGGGGGAACCTCTGGGTACAAAATTGCATTTACAGTGGAAACGGAGAACAATGATTAAAAACGGTATCGACAGAAATTTGCATTATAGAAAGAAAAGACAGGTGCCAGCGGTCGAACGTGAATCAGAGAAATTTGGAGACGCTTATCTTAGGTAAATTCGTAGTCTACGCGACGGTATCGCGGATCGTTTGGCTGTTTCCGATGGAAATGGCGAGAGTCGAGGCTCGAGACGCGTCGATCTTTCGTTTCGACGGAGGAACATCAAGGATTTAATTAAACGATCTCATCGGGCCGGAGCAAACAGCTCTTGTGTGCACGGAAAATATTTGTTCAGATGCTCGAAAAGAATAGAAGAAATAGCTCAATGTCGGACGTCTTATCGCCGATGCAGACTGTTGTTCGACCGTCTCGAACAACAACGTACGAACGTGTTTATCCACTAATTCGTTCTGATTACATAAATCATACTTTTCGACTACATTGTAGATAACGCGGATGGGCCGCGATAATGGATCGCGTCGACCAAAGTTGAAACAGCGATGGAACCTCGATACTTGCGCGCGAAACCTCTTTCCTTGCGTCGAGACACACCATTGAGATTCACTTCGAAGCTTCGTTGATAAAATTTTTATTACTATTTCAAGTATATTTCGAGCCTCGACTTCGCAAGCACAAAAGAACACTAATCTCTTAATATTGCTCTTCTCGTGACCGTCGTCGCGGTAATATTAATTAAATGGCAGTGCCATTTACCATTATCCTTTTATTCCAGATTTTTCACAAATTTACTCTTGTCGATTTCTTTTCTTATTACCTATAGACACCGGTACATCCAGTCGCATGGCAGTGTTCGAAACACGGAGCGCAATAACATTCGAATACAGTTCGGGGGACGTTTCTTTCGCGAACAGGGTGGAATCCAGTGACAAAAACGAGCGTTCGAGAAATATTTCGCGACCTCGACTGCGCTAATTTGCTTCGTTAAATTCTGTATGAAAATTTGTCAATCCGAACTTTAGTATTATCTTCCGTATTCGAAATCCAAGTCGACGAATCTAATTTAAATTTGCGTGCCCTTCCCCCCGTTCAGATTTTCTAAATTTTTAAAGTTGCGGGACTCGTGAATATTATTTTTTAACAATTTTCGTTGAATTTGAATAACTTTGGGTTTAGTAAATTTGGGTTTAAGACGACGGAGAACGTTTGAAGAATCCTCGAACGGAGGCCGGAAGCTGTTCATTTCGAAATTTCGTCGAGAATAAAGTGAAACGAGAGGGCGTTTGCAATGGAGTGTGCAAAGGATCGCGTAACAGGAGCGCAGTCGAGCTTGCAGTTTACAAACCTAACTCCCCTCTTCCCCGATGATCCAACAGCATTGTAAACAGAGAATGCGTTGCTTAAAGGTGAGTTTGCCGTGGGCTATTACATGTACGTGCCTTTGAGTTAAATTTTCAACGATAAAACAGTGTAGCAGCGTGCAACAACGGTGAGATCACAGAATTTTCAGACGATGAACAGCATCCTCTTCGTACATAGGATCTGTCGCTTTTATGGAAACGTTTCACAGAAACTTCGACGAGATACTGCTTTGACTTTGCGTACTAAAAACAAACAAGAATTATTTGTACCATTCTCGCAATAATACGATAAATGCAAATCTTAATAGGATTTACGGATCTTAATTTTTTCTCATGTATCGAATTTACTGTTCAAATACCAATCAACGGACAAATATTACGCGCGAGTTAGTTGATCGAAATATCTTGGAGCCACCAGTTTCATTACTCGGTGTTTCGTCTTACGTTTAATTTTCTATTTAAAGATATCTCGTCACGATAGATCGCGTCCAAGTATCGATTCAACTAGCCGTGGATTCAAGGATTGATAAATACGAGTTACGTTTGCAACGGGAAAAAAAAAAAATAACTAAATGTGTTTCGAAAGTATCGTTTAAACGAACGTAACCTAGGAGAAAGAAATAATTAGAACTGAATATACTTATTATGGTTCTTGTATGCGACGTCGCTATGTGGGCAGGTGGCTGAAGTTCGAGGGTGTAACGTCAGCTATAATTTTGCTTTATTCATATTTCACATTATTTTAATTTAAAAATTACAGAGATCATTTCGTTTATGGATTGTCGATAAGGACAAAACAAGAATATTGTTGTGAACGTGTATAGTATACGCCTATGATTAAAATAGTAATAATCGATAGGAAAGTAAATCAAACGGGAAAGAATGGGTCGGGTTGAACGTGGCGAATTGCCGTTTCGGGAAAAAAGTAAAATGATTTACTTCCACATAAAAAAAATTTCGTACGACGATGAATATTAAGTAATCGTCGCTTATCGTATGGATCAGACCTTTATCGTCGTTATATAAATAGAGGTTATCGACGTTCAAAAATTTGTTTACTTGTTTACAAAAATAAAATAAGACGCAAGAATTCATCCTATCTATATACGAATGAAAAATAAAATTTCCTATCTAATCGCGGCTAATAGACGTGCTCGAAATCTAACTAAAAGAAACGATTTCCGTGTGTTGTGAATCAACGATCCCCTCCTACGTCGGTGTGTGTGAGACAAGTGATCGCGCAGGTCTGGAGAGATCTGAATTTTGATTTATCTTTGATTTATCGATCCTTTAATATAGAATATATATATATACATACATATATATATACATATATGTATATATATATAATATATATCACTTTCATTTTTTCCCCGTTTTCATTTTCGTTTCTTTCTATTTTTTTTTTGTTTATTTTCTTTTTGATCCGAAAAAAATGGTGCCTTTAGCGATCGACGTACGCCACGATGCGCCTCCATATGTGTGTATGTATATCCGGTTCTATCGCTTCTTGGTCTTCTCAGAAACGGACGGTGAACGGTGAAGTTTGTACGTCGACGGTACATGCCGTGGAGATCCTGTTCACAGTTGTTTAGGGTGGCCAGACCATGAACGCACACGACGCTCCGTGGATGTGAATGACGGGGATACTGATGCTGAAGCCCAAGGGTCGTCGTCGTCGTCGTCGTCGTCGTCGGCGGAGGAGGCGGTGGAGGTGGCGGCGGAGGGGGCGGCGGATGAGGAAGAGAGTTGAGCCACGTCACGCCTGGCTCTGCCATATGTCATTTGCCATTTTGCTGTAACGCCGCGTTGATTTGTGCCCAAAGATCCTTGTTGCACGACTGAGATCTGTGAAAACAATGTTCCAGCCTTACCGTTTGTTCCGCACGGTATATATTCGTTTATTAATTCCTCGTGAACGTCAGCAGGATCACTGCGCGCTAAACTAATCGCTTCCTACGCTCGACTTTGGTAGCTGGCGTTGGCAACACTGGGGAGTCGGACGGGAAAGTCCAACAAACAACGTGGTCGAATAAATAAATTAATTAAACAATGTTACTTCTTTAGAAGAAGGTAACCCCATTCCTTCACCTGCTAGCTAATTCTATATAGGTTGCATCGTACTTCAATACCGCCAAAGTCCCTGATATCGAGCGCAAAAGCGATCGATTGAACGCAAAGTGACCCAGTTAGGGTAGTACAGTACCTTTTAATAGATTGGAGCCACTCCTTGAACTGTACGTGTCCCTCCGGAGTGATGTGGAACGCCGCTCGCGCAGCGCACACCACGCTCGCGAAGTCTTCGTAGTCCCCGGTCGCCAAATGGTACAATTTCTGATGCATGCATTGAATGTACCTGCAATTAAGCATACACGCGTGTTTCGTACTCGTCCCGAACGATGTTCCAAGGCAAGACCACCTAGCAAGAGTATAAGAAAATATTTTACGAAAACTAACATTTGCTGGCACTTGTGAACGAGGGGTGCCAAAAGCGCGGATCTCAAATGTTGAAGTACAAGGGCTGGATTGTTTCTCGCCAAGTAACGAGCCGCCTCCAACACGACGTCGTGAAGAACGAAGGGACTGACGATGCTGTCCACCGAGCAGATGCAAAGCTGATGAAGGTACTGCGTACCGAGACGTTTCGAGACTCTCAGTAGCCATTTCACGTCCTCCCCGTAGGGTGGATTGCGCGCGAACTTCGCCTGTGGTCTGTCGTCGTGGACACGACGGGCTAGCGTCTCCATGGCTAGCATGCCAACGCGATACGCGGCGAGAAGCGCTCGGAGTTGTTGTTGACTCAGGGGCTGAGTCTGTCTGTGAACCTGTGTTCGAAACAAAACGTCATCTTTACACGAGAAAGCGAATCGATCGTTGTGCACAGGTCGAACGAACCATCGAGCGTGTCCGTGGCTCGCGAATTAGTTGTTAATCGAGTTCGATAGGAAGCATTAGAATTTTAAGGGTTCACACGGTCCTTCGTACCTAAATCATCTACCTATACCGCACACGTTGCTTTCGAAAGGTATCGCAACTTATTTTACAGCATTCAAGTCGCCTAATTACCTGGGACTGAGCTCTGACAGCCGATATCATAGGCTGCGCCTGAACCAACGCGGATCCGGGCATGTTATTCTGCCCGGGAATGGGCCCCGTTACTCCTGCTTGTACCTGAAAACAACGAGATCGCGTTCGAACGCTGATCCTGGACGGGCCAGAGCAAAAACGATCAAACGAAAATACCTACATTAACTGGCATAGGCTGTTGCATGGTGAATAAATGATGAGCCCCCGGTGGTGGTGGGGGTTGCGGTGTGTAATATTGCGGCAGCGATGGTGGTTGCGTGGGCTGTGCCGGATGGTGCGGATGTTGAAGATGTTGCGGATGGCCCGGATGAGGCGGGAATGCCGCATGATACATTTGCATGTGCGGTGATGCTGGTGGTAGCGTTACCCTGTGCGACGGCATCTGTCCGCTGAACGTCGGGATGGTATGATGGGGATGTACAAAACTGTAAGGCGCCACTGCATACGGCATACCGACTCCTGTAACTAGAAATTACGTTCGTTGGTACACGGGACGATAACGAACACGGTTTTCAAAGCGATCGAAAGCAAGGAACAAGGGTTACCTAAAGGCGCTAGCGTAGTTATAGTCGGATGAGTGGGATACGGTTGAGGGGGCGGCTGAGTATTGGTGACAACGACGGTTTGCGTCGGTCCAGGCATCATTTGACTGTTCGCCATGTCCACGGGAGGCCCGGGCTCTAACAGAAGCACACCGTTCAGATCCAACTGCAGGGGATCGTGCGACATGTCGTCTTGCTGTTCTCCGTCCGGGGTGTGCTGCATCAAGATCACAATCAGTATCCCTAAGAAACCTAAGAGAAATCTTGGGACGCGTAGTTTTTGCCCTGATCAACTCACCCTTAGATACAATTCGTACCAATACTTGGCCACCTGGAAAAGCACTTCCGGATAAACACCACCGCCTTTCGCGGCGTTCTCCACCGTGATGCAAGCCTTTTCCAGCATCATCTCGCTCTGCTCTTTGCACTGCAACAGCGAAATTTTCGCGCGTAAAATACTCGAGCACGAGTGTCGTCGGTCGAATGTAAAATGTCGTTACCTGGAGAATAGCTCTCTGCACCTCGTTCGGGTTGAGGGCGTGGGCGTGGGGCAAACAAGACAACGCGAGTTCCGCGGCCGCTCTGACCATGTTGGAATCGCATCCTCTGGAGGACTTGTCCGCTATACTGACGGCTTCCGGCGGCGTGAGGTGTCCCTCCCAAGTGTCGATGAGGAACCAGATCGCCGGTGCCCCGATCTCCATCGCCTGGCCGGTTATCCAAGAGACGTGGCTCGAGTACGTACGGCTGAGCCAGTTGGGCGTCACGCAATTGTGCAGTCCTAACGCGTACAAACCGAGCTGAAACGCGCACATGTGGAGAGCTCTGTGAGGCCCGTGGGGATTCTGGCTCGTGGATGCTTGCGTGAACAACGACGTGGAACTGTTGCCGCCAGCTTTCGCCAGAACCGTCTTCGCTAACTCGCACATAAAGTGCGCCCCCGCTTCGGATGGTTGATTAGGAATAGACGGATACATTCTCTTACTTTTGTATCTGTAAAACGGAACAGACGAGAATTGAAGGAGTCGATACTACTTTTAACGAAGAGGTTTCGAGGTCCGTCGCTTCCCATACTCGACCTTCCGTCTGTATATATACGTTTATATAAAACAGGAAGGTTGGATCGAGTGCTTGCAAGAGGAACGGACCCTCTGACGACGTGCACGGGAAGCGATGGGACCTCGCAAGAGGTGTTTATCGCTACGAAAGCCACCACGGACCTTGTTTCTTTAGTTCTGGTAGACACGGGTTGTTGAACGATTTGCGGTTGCACCGTGAGTGCGCTCATACCAGTTTCCAGTTCCGCGCTGGTGCTACTGTGCGGTCTGCTGCTGGTGCCGACAACGCTATCGCCGTTTCCAACGTCCGTTCCAGCGAGGGGAGAGAAACACTCGTCGTCGTATCTCACCATCTGAGACAGAGACATCGTATTCTGTGTCATCGATCGACGGATGGATCTAGAATTTCTTTTGGCAAGTTTCTTACCTCGCTCTTGGTTGGAGGATTCGAGGTGTAATAGCTAGGCAGAATCGGTGACTTGATCAACTGATGGACGTCCCGATCCAACAGCTTGTCCATGATACTCGCCACTTTCGTTGGTTCGTCCTTGTAGTAGACGAGCAAGGTGATCGCCAGATCTCCCCTGAAACGATCAGGATCGTTAATGGATTGCACGATCGATAAATAAAGACAACGACGTCGACTGCCGGTACCTTTGGCGTCGCGTGCCTTCGCAGAGAAGCGGATGATCGGCTTCGCTGACGTTCGCTTTCAGTCCCAGAGCAGCGACAGCCGCGTCGAACCCGAGGTTCTCGTCAACGTCTGTGGGCAGGTGTTTTAGGCCTGCGAATCATTCCACAATGTTTTAATCCCCGTCTCAACTATCTCCACTCTCGCTCTCTCTTGTCTGAATGAACGACCCTTCGCGCACGGAACGCAAAGACAAGAAGAAAGAACATTACTGGAAACGAATGCGTACTTGGCACGTTGCGGGCGTCGAATATAAAACTGGCCAACATGATGGGTAGCAGCGCGTGACCCCTGGACCGGAGAACCCCGTCTCTTAGCTGTTCGGCCCTCTGTCGAACCATCGCTAATTCGGCTGGAGCTAGCGGGATCCTTTTCAGAAGACCTACCAACTCGCTTTCTTGATGAGCCAATTTTACCTAAGAAAATTCGAGAACTCAACGATCTGGTACATCCGCGGCTCTTGCAGCGAATCGAAAAAAAGCGACTTCTAATTCGGTTACTTAATGTGACTCGTTTACCTCCAATGGTTTGGTGTTGGCCGGTGGTCTGGCCATTTCCAGGCCAAACAAACCAACTCTGAATGCCAGATTGTAATACTCCGGGTTCTCCGCTAGAACCGTGCAAAGAAAGCAACACTTGGCCAGTGTAGCCGACGCAAGGCACGTTAGCTGATGAGACGCCGGGTTAACCTGTTGCTAGAACCAGGTTAATGTATTCGTTGTATGCACATAATTTAAGGGGGTCTTCTACCGTTCTTCTGTCCTTTTACAAATTGTTATTTTTGATTTTCGTCTTGGCCTCTAGAACCTCCCATTAAAATTTATAAAAAACATCAAACAGAATATAAAAGAAAACGCGTTTTACAGTAGAAAATCCCCTTTTTCTCTAACGTGGGGAAACACGGCTAGCTTTACCTTCTTCTTCTTGCCCTTCACGGGCATACGAGATTCGTTGATCATGAGATTCGGTGGGTTCGCCAGCAGTTCCTCGCCGAGTTGCACGCCCAGGATGCAAGCCTCCCTGGTGTGTCCGTGAGCGTATAGTCCCTCCGCCCTGGCGAACAGTATGTCCCACGGATCCTCCGTCTTCGTCAAATTACCTAGTATAGTGCTAGCGTTCGGCGCGCTGGCCGCCTGCGTGTGGTTCTTGAAGTCTTTGCCGGAGGCGCCGTTGCTCGTCGCCACGGCCTTCGGGTCGTAATAGTAAACGTGATACTCGTCGCTGGACGGGCTGTCGCTGCTGGACGACGAACTCTCGTCCTTGGACGGCTTCCTGGACGCGTCCTTCTCCAGATCGGACTCATGCTCGCCCTTCAAACCCGTACCCTTGGCCAACACTGTACGCGATTTCTCACGGTAGTCGAGATTCGTCCTGCTGCACTTCCCGTCGCAGGCAGCTTTGTTATTACTACTATCACTACTATCACTATGTGTCTCGGACGAGGTGTTTGAGCGGTACTTGTCCGAATTTTGAGCGTTCTTCAGGCTAACGTTGCTGTTCGAGGACGACTCGCTGCCGCCACCCTCCTGGAAACGCGCAATGGTCGCGATTTATAGCAGCGATTAGCAATCTATCGGTACCAAATCGTTACCTGAGATTCTTTCAAAGATTCACCAGGCGAATTCACAAAGTATAATTCAATAAAAAATCGTTCCTTTTCACGAAGGAGAAAAAACGAAATTGCTTTCCGAACAACTCGATATTTTTACGTATCGATGGGGGATCGTGTAATGGATGCATACTCTAACGAGCCGCTATTAACCTAAACGACGAAACCGGGGATAGGTAGAGCGAGTAAAGTACTCTCGGGGGCCAACAACTCGCGGACGCGCGATATCCTCCGGCCATTTTACGTACCTGTGAATCGGTGTCCCCGCAATTATTTAGTTGAGCACAACTTCGTCTAACGAGGACCACTTGAGGCTCGGGTATATCGGGCATGTCGGTCTCGTTCTCGCAGAAACCTTCGGAGCTGACGCTGCTTCGATTCCCGTCCCCGCCGCCGCTTCGCGAGCACAGGCCTGGAAACTCTCGCGGATTCAATCGTTTCCGGTCCATGTAGCTGAACTCCACCAGGCCCAAACTCAACGGCCGTCTGCCGTGGTGGTGAGAGACCGGCGGCTGACAATTCAGCACGGCAGCGCTCGAGTTCACCTGCGTCGACAGAATTCATATTTTCTCCACCACGATCCCTCGACGTAAGCGTAAAAGTTTCACCGCGAATCGAAACACCGACCTGATTCACCTCCGTCCTGGTATCCCCGACGTGCCGGAAACAGGTGAACGGACAATGATACATGGGATTGCTTCCTGCTGTGTACGTGATACCTGGCAAGGTGTACTCCTCCCAATCGAGATAGCACGCCTCGAGCGCCGATTTGAAGCCGGTGAAAACGGTCAGATCGTTCTTCAACGAGTACTTGTGATCGGTGCCGTTGTGCCTGTTGTGGGAGTTGCGGGTCACCGAGCTGCCCCGACTTTTCGTTACCTGTGAAACCGGAAATTTCGTCGATGGATAAATCGTTAGCTGTCTGATATATTCCACGGTGGAAACGAGCTCGTCGACGAACCGTGATATGCTCGATCGATCCTATCCTGACCGCGACGCGGCTTACCTTATCGATGATCTTCATGTGCCAAGTGGTAAACTGATTGTGAAGTATCTCACGCTCGGACGGCGAGAGGCCAGGATTCAAAGCGGCCAGTCGCCAAAGGACGACGATCTCGTCGCAGAGGGACGAGCAGGCGTGCTGCGAGGCGTGCACGTTGCTGTTCATGTTGTGTTTGCCCCCGTAACCGGTCGCGTTCAACAACGCTACCTTGGTGTTGAACCACCAAACGAGGATCTGCTCGCAGGCCATGCACTCCTCCGTGATGATCTCCAGCAACGGTATGGCGTTGCGATCGTTCCTTTTGAACATCTCGCGCACGATCGACAACAGATTCCACATCCCTTCCGGCTCCCGTCCGCGCAACGGTCGCAGCAACGACGACCATTCGGCAGCAGCAGGAGGCGCAGTGGTGCTCAGGCAATTAACATCGCTGCAATTATCAGATCCGATTCGTCAACCGACGCGAAATCATTCCGGAGAACGTACGCGATCGATAAGGTCGTTTCTACGATCGGTCGAATGGACGCATAATTATTGGTACCGTGTTTTTAGAGACCAGAAGTTAACACTAAACGATAGGTTAGTCCCAGAGAGAACAATTATTCACGAAACGATGCTGGCTAGTAATCACGTGAACCCTTCTATATGCAAACTTAATAAATAATTTATAATCCAGTTTCATCGCAGACCAGTCGTATAATAAATAGGAGTTGCTAAAACTTCTTTTAGTATGTAACGTCAAAGTAAATTATAAAATAAACATAGAAGACAGCATAAAATGTGGTAGTTTGCATAGTCATCGGATAGGGGATGAAATGCCCTTTAAAATGAGCGTTTGTACCAGTCGATAGCGTGATTAGTTCCGGAGATATGAGGATTTTAGTTTCAAGTCGATGCGGTGGCTAGTTACGGAGATATAAGGGTTCGAAGTTTTTTTTACGTTTCATTGATGCGAGATGAATGACCGCGCGCGCGTAAATAGTAAACAGTGCGTAGTAAATTCTTGGAAACACTACGGAACTGGGTCACGACAGTCACGTCCGTGGGGTAGGTCAGCGCGATGCACGAGCGAGAAAGAGTTCCGACGCGTCAGACGAAGACAGAGATAGTCGAATTAAGAAAAATACCCCTTTACATAAATTACGATATCTCGGAAACGGTAAGTCCGATCGACAAAAACCAAAAGCCATTTTAAAGGGGGAGCCTTGCCGCTTCTAACAGTGGTTCAATTATTAATAAAACACCAGTAGTTTCGGAACTGCGTGGGTGTAATTTTTAATACGCGTTCATAGACTGTTCTGATAAGGTGGAAACTAATTCTCGAAATTAGACGTTAAAGAAAAGTTCTTCTAGACAATTTCAAGGGTTTACGCGTTAACAAAGTTTCCTATATTAAGAACAATGGATCACAGTTTCTTACTGAAAATTCCAATCCCACTTTTTCGAGTTTCTTTCAGCGGATTGAAGTTTCTCGGTTTCGAAGGCAATTTACCTGAAGACTATCGGAGCTGGAACGCAGAATTTGATAAGGATCTTCTTGATATTGTCGTGGAGTGTCTTCTCGTCGAGATACCAGGAGGTCTGATCGTGGGCGGAGGCACCGGCCGTAGGATCGGGGGCGCCGCAGTAACTGTTGATGGTGCTCGGTTGGACCGACAACAACTCGTCCAGAAGACGCTGGGCTGTGGGCAGAATCTGCTGCGGCAGCTCGCTGATGAGATACTGCGCGAACTTCTGCAGTTGTTCCCGGTGCAAACGTGACAGGGATTCGCTAACCGGAGCTCTCAGGCACACCTGCGTCGGCTGAATACAAAACAACGTCGCGTCAGAGTATCCCGCCCTCTCTAACCGCGACTACGACAATTAAATCGTCCAGTCTCGTCTAGATCCTTGCAAATTCGATCTTGCAACCTGACGTACGCGATTTTACTCCGGCTCGATCTGCACTCCAACGCTCGTACTCGATCTCAAATCTTTTTAACGCTAAATCCAGTGTAACGTTAATAATCGGTAGGATCTCCAACGCGATTAGAAATTGATTTTTGGAGGTTCGAGGCGCGGTTTCTTACCATGTGTATCCTGTGGAGGCAAACGGCGACCACGTGGGCGCACCAATAGGCCTTCGAGGTGCAAGTGCAGTTGCATGACGTGATCTTCCGTCGATCGAACGTTACGGCGACGTTGAACATCGTTTTCCCGGTGTGCATCACTACAGGTGCGTTTACGCTTGCGCTTAGATGGAATCCTGACCAGTGGAACAATAAAAAAAACAGTATTATTTGTCATCCAAGCACGAATAGAGATGTTGAAGTTGACGGACTTGAAAAATAGATGAGACATTTCAGTTTCGATCGTTTGGACGAGTAGTATTTTTAATACAAAGCCTGTACAAGACAATAACGAGGAAATATATCATTGCTGAGACGGGCGAAAATAAATTGGTTGCAACGTTTAATAACACGATGCTCGGAAGAGCATTATACCGTATAATAAATGCGAATTAAACGTTCGTTGAAAATTATTCGCACGACCCCGAACAGCGGAATTGCACGGCTCGCAGGGGAATCGTCGGTCATTGCCACGACAAGAAGCGTAAGCACCGTTTCCAGACGAAAGGGAATAAAGACGTCATTTCGCGCGCATTAAGAAACAACGCCCCGGTGCCGTGGATCGCTAACAAACGGAATACAAAGGGAAAGACGTCTTTCTATGTAGAGTGCAGCGTAAATTAGCTCGAGGAAATTAACCGTCCAGGAACATCTTGGTCAAACAATAAAATTAAGGATTAAAATCCAACGTCTCGTACCTCTGTCGGAGAGGCGTCTTTCGCGAATTATCCTGTTCACCGTTCGCGGATCGAACAGACGTTTCTAATTGCCTTCGAGTATTTTCATGAAATCTGCTTTTTCGAGCGTCTAATTCGATCTTCCTCTTGCCACTTTTCTGGCGGATGAATCAGGCAACGAAAACAACGGCCAAGTGGAAGGATATAATTGCACTCGATTCATAAAAATACACTTTGTGTACTTAAATTTGAAATCCATCGCGAAGATTAAGGAGAAAATTTTTTCCCGCGTGGTCGATTATTAGGCGAGGCATGGCGATTCAGAGGTCTGAAAGCTGACCAGCTTCTTTATTCGAGGAATGGAGCATCGTGCAAAGATTCTCGAGCCGCGAGGGCTCCCCTTGGACGGGAAGCGCGGGATAGACATAATTGGAAACCTGACCCTGACGTTTCCCTGTCTCGAATAGTGTCGCAAAATCCTCTCTCTGTAAACCGACGCTGAAATGAATTTAATGCCGGATCGATGGGAGGAAACGACTCCAACGATTCACGGCCCGGGAACACTGGGATCAATTAGCGACGAAATTGAGCGCCCTATAAATTCCGATTTCCACCTTTTTCTCCGGTCTTTCGCGGCAGCGTTGCAGAACTCTAACGGAGGCTGGTGCAAAAAAAAAAACCGATTCAATTAAAAATTGAACGTTGCTTTGACCCGTCGAACTACTAGTTTAGTTGACAGAAGATACAGTAGTATCGTCTGTTATATTCGGCCGATTTTCATTAATAAATCTTGAATTTTCATCGAAGAATTCCAGATGTGGTTGACTCTGAATTCGCTCACCGATCTGCAGAGGATCTTTCACGCTCCTCGAACGAAACAAGTGCTCGCCGCGCTGAAACTCGTCCGCGTTCCCATTGGCCAGGCACGAGTAAAGCCTGATGTCCTCCTCGTTGTCCGGGAAACTCCAGAACGCTATCCTGAGCTGTAGTTGCTCGGGCACGGGCGGATAAACGTGCTCCACCAGCTCGAAGGGTATGTGGGACGCCACGCAACGCGCCGCGAGCTCGCACAACGTCGGTACTGTTTGTCCATCTGGAAAACAAATCAATTGCAACAATGTAATCGACGATTTTGTCAATTTCCACGCTCCATACAATGCAATAGACATAAGTGTTTATTCGTTCTCTTATGGAAAATTGCAGTAAATTTTTCACAAGTTCCATTAGAAATCACGAATCGTTTCGACTGCTTTGTTCCAGCGTTAAATCATGCCCCCGAGTACGAGAGGTTAAGAACCACTGGTTTAATACTTGGCAAATAAGTTTGTTGGTTTTTTTCCCCAGTCGGCGATGTCGAAAAAACGTAAAGCGTATTTGCAAGCTATAAAACCATCGATGCAAAAATAATCACAGTCTCTGTCTCTCCTTTACTCTCTCTTCCGCCCATCTGTTTCGCGTTACCGCGAAGCCTGGCTTCCGAATCACGGCTTGACCGCACTTTCCCTTGCAACGTGCCGAGGGGGGGGGGTTTGAAGAGGGAGGAGGAAAGAAGTCGCGAGCACGGTGAAGTCAACGAAAGGATCTACTTGGAAGACCTCCGGACGAGGGAAGTTTTTTCCTCCCTCGCTGCCTTGGTCGATCGCTCGAAAGTAGCGATAGGCTCGAACGTACCTCGAGCGAATCCTTGTTTTTTTTCTGGCACCACCAATAGATAACGAGTTATTTTAGCTGACGCTTCTTATTATTATCCGAGACTTTTTTAAAGAAATTAAAACGATTCTTATGGAAAATTATGGTAAATTTTTTACAAGTTCTATTAAAAATTATGAATGGGTCACTTTGATAGATCTAGCGTCAATGCATCTCGACGATATATCAGACGATATTTCGTGACGATCACGAAATCGTGAAATGATTCAAACACTTCGCTATAAGCAAGATCGATGGTGGGGGTGAAGTACGAAGCGGGTATTCTCGGTTCCTAGAACATCTCCCGCCATTCTCTTCGATTCTTTCTTGTTGTCTCCGCCATAGCTCCACCGGGAGAGGGACAGTCTCCGTGTTGCAAATTCTCGACCGCAGACCGGAAACTCGGTCGTCCGCAAGAGTCGGTCGTTAGGGAAAACCGAATGAAACTCGACGACCAAATCGACTGAAAATTGCCTCGCCTAACTCGTAAGAAATTTCGTTCGAATACCGGCCGCAATTTCTGCTTCGTTTCGGAGTTACATTGTATCGCTACCCTGTTGCGGTTTGCGATCCAAGATTCGATCGTAACATCGCCGCATAATATATTTAATAAAAACCCAGACCCAAAGAAGTCGAGTCGATCGTGTTCACGGTGGATGGAACACGATTTATGGGATTTAGGGGGATTTATTTGGATCAATTAATCGGTCTGAATAATCACGTTTGCTTGAAAATAAATTGCAAAGGGTTAAAGCTTAAAGGGAAGTTCTCGAGGAACCGGAGAAAACTCTGTTTGCTTATTCCAGCGTCGTGAATGAACGAAGGAAGCCAGAGCGAACCGTTCCGATAATAAACGCCGTTACTACCCGACGTCGATAACTTTATTAATACCCGTGTGGCACCCGTTCTTTGCGAAATCTCGTTACAGACGCGATTAACGTCGCCGTAACGAGCTTCTTCCAACGATCACCCTGCGATCGTCAACAAACGACCAACGACGGACGATCGACAACCTCGACGAAACTCGAAATTCACGAAACTCGCGTCTTTTCGGCGAGTGTCGATTAGTCGAAACTGGAATTAAAATGAAGGACGAAACGGAAGATCGGTCGACAGTGCGTTAAGCAGAAATTAATTTCGTTTTTAGAGTCGTGCAATTTCGAAGCAATCGTTTAAAACGGTCAAACAGAAACGGAATTCAAAGGTCTCGTTCGCCGAGCGTCGGCGTTTTCGCAGATCCGCGACAGCGTTAATTCCATCGTTAAATTGCATTCAATTAGAATCGATTTGTGAGCCCGGAGGCGTCCTGAAGCGTTTCTTTCGCTAGGACAATAATCACCGCGACGGGGGCCTTAATGAGCGCGATAATGAAAGCGTCTCGTTAACAATTTCAAACGGTGTTACGTAATTGTGGAGGCCAGCCAAACGCGTTTGTCAACGAATCGAGAATTCAGTTATTTCAGATCCAGGAATCGAATGTTTGTCCATCGTATTAAAGTTCAAAGCTTTGACAAGCTTGCTCGATACGTGTAGTAGGATCAAATTATCGCTTCTCGTTTTACCATTTTACATGGGTCTCCTCCCTTATTAGAGAGAACAATTTATACACGGGTTTCTATACCATTTCAAGTGGGAAATAAGACACAAATGCAACGCAGAATGTATTCCTCACAGCGATGACGCGAGTCGATTTGCAATTCACGCGATTCCGCGACTGTCTCGAATCGATTCGGCTGTCCTTCGCGAAGAAACGAGGATCGATCGAGCAAAAGCAGGGAAGAACGGTTGGAAAACGAGGCGCGAACGGGTCCATGTACGGCGAATTTTGGCACGGGTCAGAGGCCAGCCGTAATTTATCGCTCAATTAAGCCCGAAAACGCTCGAAATAACACGTACGACGTTAGGCTTAAAAGGGCGTTCGAAGTTTCCTACGATCCCTGGGAACGTGGACGATAAACTTTTTTCCAACGGCGTTCAGGAAAAGCGTGTTTTCCGCGCGTTCCAATTCGCAGGCACGCGCGACAGTCGCCGCGGAACGCTCCTAACTTCCTTATTGATTTTCCCTGTCGCCGTAGGTGTAAGTTTGAGTTTCAAAGGAGGCCATGCGTACGCCGCGTGTTCCCGGGAAAATAAGAACGAGAAATCGATGCCCGGCGATGTATCGCTCGACCTCGTGCGCCTCTAAAACACCGCGCTTTCGTCCATTTCACAAGCAACGCGAAAACACCACGTTTTCCTTCCCCGCGTACACGAAAATTTCCCGAGACACGCCGTCCTTTCTTACGCTAATCGACGTCGTATTTCGTTCCGGCCAGTCGTCGATCTCGACGTTGAATTTTCCGACTCCCCGGTACATCCATCTTCCCGTAATATGCAATTTTTCATATTCAATATGGGAGTTCTCGAGCGGTATCGACCCTCGCCGCGAACTTTCCTTCGATGACGCGTAAAGGAATACTTGGTTCCGCTACTAAATATATTTATTTTTTTAACAAACGTATATATTCTAATATTTAAGATAGAAAAGAAAGAACACGGTTAATATACGTGCAATCGTGATACACTTCCGGGTCGCTGAACCTGTCGACCAGTTCAATATATCTCTTTTACACGTATCGTATAACATTTACGTATTTGTAAATTTGTTTCACTCGAAACGTGGAATTCAAACTATCAGGGAATTCCTTGCTGATGGAGATTAGTATGGATAATGAAGGTTCCGGTGTAATAAAAACGACAAGAACTCGACCAGGAGATGGGGAGGGAGGACGTTGGAAAAAATACACGGAAAGCCGGTGAAAATTCCCGACGAAATCGCGATGCACTTTTGCACCGGTGGGGCCGTCGTTAATCGAATAAAAAATACCAAGCTCGTTCTCCCCCCTCCCCTGCCCCTCTCTCCGTTCATTCCGCGACGCTTTTGCCGTTTCATTCGCGCTCGACGATCGAAACGAGCCGCGGTTTTCGTCGTGCAACGTAATTTCCCCGACCCGAACTCCACAAAAGCGACCTCGATATGGCGGCTGCCGGGGAAAATCCTCCAGCGACCGTTCCCGCGCGTCCATGTTCCGGCACTTTGCAAAAATTTCCATTACTCTTCCCCCTTTGTTTTTCTTGCAAATGTTTGGACGATCGATCGCGAGAACGCTCCGCAAACGCGTGCCGTCGGCCAACGGCGTTTCTCTCTACAAGCGAGCCTCCAACCCGGACGAGCAAAATTCTTATCCACCCTTAAGGGAGTCTTCTACCCTAAATCGTCCACGTTCCAATAGTTCGCAACAAATTTTGACAACTTTGATTGATATTTTCAAATTGTTTACTCCCTGATAATCCTATACAAACTGTTGTATAAAGTAAAAAACATATAAAAGTGTTATATTAATATTCAGTTGCACCTCTGTTGTTGAATATATATTTGCGTCTATTGTCGTTCGGGGGTAAACAGGAAGGCTGGGGGATGCTGCGCCCGTTTTCAGACACGGTTTCCTTATGCTGGGGAATCGAAGAACGACACCGTACGGTTTCCACCCTGCGGATGCTCGCTAATCAAATAGAAATTGAATTTCCATTAATAACGGGCCGCAGCGTGGTAACGTCATTTCCGGGCATATTGAGCGCTGGCAAGCGCGCGCGAGCTACGACGATAAACCTTTTGTCTTGGTGGATGAACCGCCGTGTTCACGTGCGGATGCGGCAAATGGGATTAAAACGACGGAACGTCGGAGGCCTCCGTCGCCTCTTAAGGACCGCATTAATCCTCCCGAACCAGAGGAATTTTCTGTTTACTCGCCTATCTGTGCGATCGTCTCTCCGAACAGCATTCAGTCTCCCCAACAATGGGCGAAAATAAAAAAAAAACTGGCGTCTAAAATCCACGTATCGTGCCTCAAAATTGCAAACAATTTATATTTTAATTAAACTAATCAATGATGCTTTGTTTATAAGTAACGTATCGTTTCGCGAACGAGGCAACGGTTCGTAAAATCAGCGAAATCTCGTTTCCGAGGGTTCGATCGAGTCGGTTCGTTACACGGTGAAAACCAGGCTAAAAATCGATGGGTTCTCGCTGCGTGGCGCGATTATGCACGGAATTGGCGGACGGTTGCAGGGCTCCCGGGGAACGTAGCCGTGAAATTTGCATGCAGTTCAGAATGCGCCTTATCTCGTGTACGTATTGCATTTTTAAAGCGGCGCGATACCGCAGCGACTGGATGCCCGGAGAGGCGGCAAAAGGGGCCGTGGAGCGTTTTCGCGCGTTCCTTTTATCTCGATCGTACGCTCCACTTTCCCATCGGACGGTAAATAATGGAAATAGAATCATAAAAGTATTACGATGACGGAATTTATGCGACCAGGCTGGCTGGCCTGTTGCCTCGCGTGTCTGTTATTTTCGTTGCAACCGCG